TATACACGTCTTGATACTTTGGATATCAGGCTAAAGAATGCCGCTCAAAACCACCGCTAGCGTCTCTAGGAAAGAAGTCCCTGTATTCATGCCCAAGGAGTAAACAGGCTTACAGGAATTTCTGAATTATACACCAGAAACATTCATCCCACAGTTGCAAGTTTGAAAATGTAAACTTCTCAAAGCAACTAGAGAGTCTAGAAATTATTATTTCACCAGATAGAGGTATATATCAATATAAGGGACTATATATCCACCCCCCCCCCCCCCCACCCCTGATGGGTTTAAGTTTGAAATGTGACGTGCCCGCTTAGGGAAGTCAGCATCACGACTCGTCCATCGTGTAAGGTTGGCTGTTCACTCCATGGCACCCACTTCTATGGAAACGTCTCTAATTAGTGGTCTTTTACGACATGATTGGTGGATGGAAAGATGGGAGGCCTAATGGATCTATTCTTTTTCTCCTGACATGGTGCCATGAAACCCAGCCAGGACTTGTACGAATTCAGATTCACAGTCGGTGAGTATAACTGGCTGGGGAGGGCAGGTTTTTCTGTGCCAACAACAAACGCATTATGAGTTGCCCGGTAACAGAAGAGTTAAAATTTACTTTGGTCCCGGGTCGACCGGGTATCAGTTTGTAAATTACTGGGAACTAAAGGCAACCGGAATGTATGGGCCAGACTGGACTATAAAAAAAAATGACCTTGTGGGGGAGGGGGGGGGGGTGTGGAAGGATGCTTAGACTCTAGGCCAAGTAAGCTTCAGTGCGAGGAAATACTTTATTTACTAGTTTTTATTTGCCCTACAGACCCTAAACCCCAACTCCCCCCCCCCCCCCTTCCCGCCTTTTTCTTTTTCTTGTCTGTTACCAACTAGTTAGTCGAACAGCAAAGAACTTTTTTTTCTTTAGTGAAGGAAAGAGGGAAGGGCGCAGAAACACACACACATATATATACACACACATAATGTGTTAATAACGCTTCCCTGGTACAAGTGTACTTACATAATCTAAAATTGTGTTCCTTTTTGTTTTGTTTTATTTTACAATACCTTAAGAACCCGGATGCTATAATTTTAAAGCAGGCGGTTAAATGATGATTGGATGTAACTCTGGCCAATGGGCGAGCGTCACATGTGCGGTGTCATGCCAATTGTCTTGGGGTTCGATGCTTAAGTCCATAGTCAATATTTACTATGTATCCCAAAATGTAAAATGGCGTTTTTATTTTCTAACAGATTGCTTAGTTTGTTGCCTCTCCGGGCTGCTACCTAGCAATCCGGATGGCAGACCCACAGGGCAAAAACCCAGCGAACCCGATCAACCTCGAAATAAGTTATAATTTGGGCACCCGTAAAAGTGTACCTTAGTTTGGTATATTTTCTTCTTATTCTGCTTCTAATGTTTCTTCTTTTCCGCCGGCTCCTCATTTTCCAACTCCTTTTTCTCTGTGATCATCCTTATCACTCACTCCTCGTTCTCCTGTGCCTCCATTCTGTGTGATATCGGCAGTCATCTTCTATGCCTGTAAGTTTTTGTCGGGGTCTGTTAATCATCTATTTTATAAATACCCTTCAGCGTCATGCTGCTAAAATGTCCGACATCTTTTGTCTCCCCAAGAACTGTCCTGTCGATATTATGTTTGCAAGTTTCTCTCTCTCTCTCTCTCTCTCTCTCTCTCTCTCTCTCTCTCTCTCTCTCTCTCTCTCTCTCTCTCTCTCTCTCTCTCTCTCTCTCTCAAATCGTGACTCAGGAGCTCGCTCCCACACCTGTCAGAAAAAAAGAAACATAGAATTACTTAAATGAGCCTTTGACCGGTTGGGGGAAACGAGGGCATCGAAGATAAACTTAAAAACGGAAGGCTTTTGTTCTCGCACCTCTCTGGATTTTCTACCACATAAATGGCAGCAGTGGAGATGTTTCTTACCTCGGGTAAGGCCGGGCAGTCAAATCTAAACATAAATGAAAATGTGTACACAGTTTTCTTGAGATGTATTCACACAGTTTGTGACACACTGTAGGTGTGTGTGTGTGTGTATGTGTGTGTGTGCAAGTGCAAACATACTTGCTGAGTATTTTTACTAGCTTCACATAAGTATATCACGTGATAGTGTCACAGATGTAATGTGCTTTTTTCTGTTTCACTGTATTGTCTGTCTGCGTTGTGGCAAGATTCCGGTAGGGGCAACAAGAAGGGGACAGGGGTGGTGGGGGGCGGGAGGTGTCTGTAACATCATCACTGATCCTAAGACTATGTGATCTAGCCATTGGGTCACCCAGTGCTACGCCTAGGGCCATCCTGGAGTTTTTACTTGACCAAAACCTGCACAGTGTGCTAAAAACTAGAGTTAAATTGTGTCTGTCTGTCTGCCTATAAATAAACGTTTGTCTGGCTGTGTCGAGATAGATAGATAGATAGATAGATAGATAGATAGATAGATAGATAGATAGATAGATAGATAGATAGATAGATAGATAGATAGATAGATAGATAGATAGATAGATAGATAGATAGATAGATAGATAGATAGATAGATAGATAGATAGATAGATAGATAGATAGATAGATAGATAGATAGATAGATAGATAGATAGATAGATAGATAGATAGATAGATAGATAGGTCAAGCGTTCAGTGAAAGGGACACAACTTGCAAATGAAATTGTATTTTTAAAACAACGAGTTAATTTTCCTAACATGGAAATCTAGTTTAAATTATTTTTTTTTGTGTCACACAGTATGCGGGACACACACGCAGTAACAATAATTTTACAGAGGTGGTTTTTATCTTTCCAGAACCTCGACCCTAAATACAGTTCCCCATCTTGTCGTTACCCACAACCATACAATTGTTATAGTTACTACTTGATATCTTCAATGAATGCATGTTTTCCGAATGTCTTAGGCTACCTAGATTTTTAAAACAAACGAGTCATCCCCTTGTGGAATTAAATTTTACGTTATTTTTGAAGCCCTACTCTGGCTCTTGCAAGGGGCCTCAATACAGCCAGGCCATAAATATGGTCTTATGTCTGAAAGCGGTTTCTGGGACCTCTCCACGGTGATCCTCAACCACATGGTGGCACTTTTTGTCATCGGGTATTTATCTCTTGTGTTATGTCCTAGTGGAGTAAAATCTACTACTACTACTACTACTACTACTACTACTACTACTACTACTACTACTACTACTACTACTACTACTACTACTACTACTACTACTACTACTACTACTACTACTACTACTACTATTACTACTACTACTACTACTACTACTACTACTACTACTACTACTACTACTACTACCCATGCAAAAGGGTCTTTCAACCGTTAGGTTATATTAGGGCCCCGGCGACAGACCAGTCTAAGTGTATCTGCTAGAGAGGCGAGGAACCAACAGTCTGCAAGCGAATACGTCAGGTTTGTAAAACGGATGTGGGCGCAAAACTCAAGACCTGCAACAAGACCAACGTCCTGAACAACCAGAAATATCTGCCGGAATTCACCGCCAGTGAAGACAAAGAAATAGAAGATTGATGACCTTGCACACAAATCTTTACAGATGATTTGAACCTGTATCTCTAGAATGAGAGACCAGCTTTCTTAACCGTTCGACCAGTCGCCCCTCGCGTTGGTAATAGTTAAATAATGCTGGTCTGGTAGGAAGAAAGTTATAAACTCTTTTGAGTCCCATTTAGTTGTTACTTTAACTCTTTATCTTATACCTCACAGAGTTTTAGGGTTAAATGCCGCAACGGGGCGCATTTTTCCATTTTTATTTTTTGTTGTTATTTTAAAGCCCTATCCCATATCTCGTCGGGGGCCCCAATATACATTAACACTTGGTCGCGGCTTCTGGAGGTGCCCAAGTGATTCTCGTCCGAATAGTGGCATCTTGCGTCAGCGGGTGTTTTCCCTCCTCGTAGGGCCTTGGTGGGATTGTACGACATTCACTTGGGGTTACACGCGATACATTCTAGGTTGGAGTTCATAAAAGACTATTCTCGACAGAGTTAGTTACCCTTCCCAGGGTTAACAAAACTTCTTGTTTCTTCTCTTCTCTACCCCTGGAATGCCTCGCGGCTTCAGGACAGAAAGAGATCTCTGGACTGGGATCTTCTTTTCGCTTCGTAAAAAGTACTTTTGTGTCTCTGATATTTATGCTGCCCAAATTCTACGTGGTCGACCTCTGGATCTTTTACCCCCTCTGTCTCTATAACATAACTCTCTGTGGGGTCCTGTATGATGTTAATCTTATTGTATGACCAAGCCATTAAATGTTTTGTCTTTCTACAAAATTCAGTATTGGTTCTGCGGCGACTCTTCTCCTGATATTATTCATAAGCCAATATTTTCTCGTTACAACTATAACAGCACGTAAACATTTCATGTCTGTCGTGATTATTTTCCTTCTGTCATCTGAAGACAGTGCCTATGTTTGACACTGATAGCAAAGCGTTGGTAAGGATCTTGTGTTAACAGAACACATGTCTATAACAAATGACAGTAAGAATATTATATTATCTCAAGAATTATCCAAAAATGCAGTAGTGTGCGTTATTTGGTTCTGTCAGAGTTCATCATTAATTCTAATTGTGGTCAGTCAGTCAGTCAGTCAGTCAGTCAGTAGAAGGTCCTTTGCAGAACCCTGCGCCCATTAACAACCCTCCAGAAAACTTCTCGATCACAAGCAAGATGTCCCGCATCCGATACATCCATCTGGAGTTCATGCACCGATCTTCTCTCTGGCCTTCCTCTTCCTCTCCTCCCAGGCATATATCCCTCTATTGTTGTTCTCTCTAAACTTTCGTGACATTTCCAGTGACCAACATACCTGTATTTATTATGGATGCATTTGTTATTCTCTGTATACATTATATTCTCAGAACCCGTCTAACTGTGGGATGTGTGCATTATTATAGGCAAGGCCCATAACTACGGTTGACGGTATCAATACGGACACGTACGCGGAGCGGAGTTCTCCATAGCGTTTTCAATATGGCTGCGTCTGTGAGCAGACGACTGGCCGGTCTCCTTGTCTGGGCCTCTTGTATCCTGGCAGCTCATGCATTCATTGAAGGATTGTACTGTGGTCAAGAGAACTGTTACGAAGGTACGCCTCTAGTTAAATGGCGTTTAAGACAATAAAGGCAAATCACATCTAGGGCCATGCTCCGCAACCTAACTAACGGAACGAACAAACACCAATAATATAAATATAACAGTGTACCGTACACGCACGCATCCAGTTACCATTGGCAAAAATATTGATGACTTTATCACTTAAATTTTAAGCTGCATTGATAAAAATGCATAGCAATTACAGCTAGTGCTGTTTTATTGGGATCCGGCTTGGATGTTGGCGAACTTGGTTTCCTTATCACACATTGAACATTGGTAATGAACTAATGAAATAGTCGAGTTCAGGTCATCATTCATTGGCATCCCTAGGGCTAGTCTAGGCATTTGAATGACTATTAGTATTAGGAAATATCCATATATGATATCTATACTATTTAAATTTGTCTGAATATCGTCCACTGTCTTGTTTCTTCCTTCAAAACGACTACCCCCATAACACTGAAATCTCTGTCTGGTTTCTTTTTCCCCAATCCTCTCTCTCTCATCTGCCTGCCAGTCTGTCTTTCGTCTTTTTATCAGTATCTCATACCCATGTGAAGGGAAGGTGATCCTCTACTATTTAACTTGTAACTAGTTTGTAAAATGTGACATGTTTGAGCTGTAAATATTTGTTAATGAGCCACTGATGAAATGTCTAAACAATAATTGGGAAAAAAAGGAACCTCGTGCCCCCAACATCCTTTTCCCCAGTACCCATGCCTCAGTTCTGGATTTAAGCATATAATTAATAAAAAGACAATGTATTGATCAGCACTCATAGACTAAGTTGCAGCTTAAGGCCTCACAGTCTGCAGTAGCAAAGGAGAAGTAATGAAGGGAACTGCTAACTCGGAAATATGCTATGACTTAGAACAGAGCTTTCCAAAAAGTGTGTTGTAATACACTAGTGTGTCAGCTGCAGATTTGTCGCATGAAGCATTAAAAAAAATTATGTATATATATGTAAGTGTCTGTATTTTTTTTTTAAAAAGAGTTAATTTAACCTCTGGTTTGTTAGTAGACTGAGTTACTGTATCATGAAATTATGTTTGTCTAAAAAAGTGTATCACCAGCATGAGCAATTTGCAAAGCATAGAATATGCAAAGATGGTGTACTTGAGACCCAAGTTATAGTGTTTACTTTACAATTACTTTTTTATTCTTCACTTGTCCTCAAGCAGAGCCTATCATTTCAGATAGCTTAGGCAAAGCCCTTTTAGACATTTATAGTTGCTTATGGCTAAAGATCTTTTAATGGGATAGGAAATATTGATCATTACTCAGTACAGGATTATCTTCATGGCACATTGGTCATATCCATGTGTTCTGATCTTCTCCTAAACATTTTTTTAGTGTGGTTGTACTGACACCTGCCTTATATAGCTGATGTAACAGCTATGGGCTCTTGCATGGTTTTCACTTCATGATGCTCTGATGGATATATTCAGACTTCGCATCCAAGTCAGAGAGAAATCGTTGTCCTCGTGATAAGGGTCTTCAGCAGATTTGTCTCTCGTATAACATTAAATATGCTTTTTGTGTCAAGTAAAGCTCCAATTTGAAGGCAATCCATTCTGTAGTGATTTATACAATTGTTTGCACACATCCTGCTTTGACCTTCTTATCTTGTCACAAATTACTTGGGTAAGGGAGCCAACCAGCCTTTAGTCAGTATTTGTAATATGCTTGCTAGGGTACAGTGTTGGTATTCTTTGTTTCTTTGACCCAGGTAATACCATTTGTTTTATACATTTGTATAGATAAAGGCATTTTTATTTATAAAGAACAAAGTGCTGAGAATTTTTGTTGTTTTTTATTTTCAGTTCTTGATGTATCACGAGAAGCAACAAGGGTGAGGAATAATACTATGATAATTTTTCTTATGTTATTTGTTTTCAGTCAAAAGATGTTTTATGTGAGGTTTGTTAAGCAAGTTCATAACATGATGATGATGTTATAAAAACCATACTGGAAAGATAAATTGCAGATAAGAAACGGAGAATGTTACCTGTGGGAGGATAACATCAAGAGATGGACGAACCCCCTCCCCTCCCTCCCCCCCCCCAGTCTAATACTGTGTAGAACCAGAGCAAAAGATAGAGCATGCTGGACACTCATTGCAGCCAACCTTCATTGTGGAGAAGGCTTCTAGTTAATTTTTTTACTTTAGTGTTCCTTGTGTTGACCTTGATATAGATGTTTACATCATAGTGATCTGGCGTTCATTTCCCGCCCAAAAAAAATGGTTTTCTTTTTTAATCATAACTGTTTTTAGCTATTTTTCTCACAGTCCATGTTCTGTTGCAATGATAATCATCTCTGTTGACTGCTTTCTCTCTTACATGCTGCCAGTCATTCTTGATATAAATGTTCCCTCACTCTATATGCTGCCAGTCATTCTTGATATAGATGTTCCCTCACTCCATATGCTGCCAGTCATTATTGATATAGATGTTCCCTCACTCTATATGCTGTCAGTCATTCTTGATATAGATGTTCCCTCACTCTATATGCTGCCAGTCATTCTTGATATAGATGTTCCCTCACTCCATATGCTGCCAGTGATTCTTGATATAGATGTTCCCTCACTCCATATGCTGCCAGTCATTCTTGATATAGATGTTCCCTCACTCTATATGCTGCCAGTCATTCTTGAAATAGATGCTCCTCACTCCATATGCTGCATGTCATTCTTGATATAGATGTTCCCTCACTCTGTGATGCCAAAAGAAGTAACAGCTTCTCACTTGGTCTTCACCTGTACAACTTCTCCATTGTCTTGTATCATGAGTATTGTCAGATGTTATCTACTCGAAGCTGGTTGTTCCTTGTCGCTAGGGCAGATGCACTCCGATTTTGAAGGAAGCTTCCAGTTAGTCGACTCTTACAACATGCTTTTTGTGTGTGTGTAGGCAGAGAGTTGGTTCTGTTTTCCCCCACAATGGGGCCTGAAACCCACACAGGGATATCTATATTCAAACTTGCAGAGACCTGGACAATGAACAAATAGTTAGAAAATAGTATGAGGTCTCTGGAAATGTGGACATACTGAAGAATGGTGTGTTTCACGGTTGTTCAGTTAAGTCTACTCAGGGGCCAAAATGTTGAAAAGGGGGTCGTCACGGGCCAGAGACCCACACCCCAGCGTAGAACAACCTTTACAAATACAAAGATCGGCAGGGCCAATTGAACAGTTCTGGCATATTTCATTGAATCAAAAACAGTCAAATACAGGGGTTCAGCAAAGAATAGGAATTTAAAAAAAGAGGGTTGCTGAAGGAGATGAAAAGTGAAGTTAAAATATTTTAGTTATGTTATAAAAGCACTGTTTTTTGGTCATGTGATGAGGAAGGAAGTTGTGGAGAATATTGTGACGACTGGGACGATCAACGAAAAAAGAGGGAGAGGCAGACCTATTGAGATGATGACAGATGGATTGTGACGGTGGTACGGATGGATATCATCAGTGGAACTGATCCAGAGGACAAAGGACCGAGATCTGTGGAGATACATAATCGCCTATGCCAGTCAGCAAGGCACATGATGATGATGGTGTTGTAAAAACCATACTGGAGAGATAAGTTGAAGATAAGATTCATGGAAATATAGAACCATTGCAGCTGGTACTATTAGCATGTTGACTCTTCGTTGGCTGCTATGAAAGGGGACAGAGCATATGTGGGAATGTCCCGAGTGCAGTGAGATCTATTCTTGATTGATTGATTCATTTATTAATTCATTCACCGTGGCCATGGGTTGTGATTCTGATTCATGAAAGCATCGCACTATCACCTTGAAAGACTGAGAGGTGCAAAGAGACTAATGTGTGGTGTTTGGATGCTTTTGTTTTATTGCCAGTCTTATGTAAGTTATTGTTTAGGCTCAGCACTTGATTATAAGATAAACAGCTGATTGTATATTTTTTCCTTCACTTCATTTTCAGAATGAAATCACAAAGGCCTACCGAAAACTGGCCAAGAAATGGCATCCAGACATGCACAAGAGAGAAGTATGTGTGCCAGATTGTGTGATCCCTTTGTGTTCTATATGCTGCATATTGACAGTTATGGTGAAGTTGCTTCAGTTATTATGATGTCAGAAGTATAACAATGTACACTGAAAGCCCCTCTGACACCTAAATGGCTCCCTTCTTGCAAAACCACAAATGATTAATATCTTCATCTCCTCCTTGTGTTATCAATGCCAACATGGAGAATGAGTAAATGGCAGGAATAGAAATAGCCACCTATGAAATCCCCTTTCTCCAAAAACACATCTCAGCAACACATAGAAAGAGACAGTTACAAAAGCCAGTATTAAAGAGGAGGAGAATATACTGAAAAGCAAAGAATGAAGTGGTTAGGCCAGCAATCAACAATGCAATCAGACTACACTAGGGATGAGACATTTGACAGCTGAACATTTGGGTAGAAGACACGAGGAAGACATGAACAGACAGCATAGCTGAAACCTGCAAAACAAGGTTAACAAAAACCTTAATTAGAGCCATTTAAGAAGCGCAAGACAAGTACGTAAGCCACAACTCAGGGCTACAACCCAGAAACATTGTGATGACAAAAGAAAAGAAGACAACAATTAGAAGAATGGGAAAAACAGAAAAACCCCTTTTGTAATGTCTAAGTAAGAAAATGGAACCTTTCCACATCTGTAGGCAAAATGGGCATATAGTGTTTAAACTTTGTTTTATGGACCAGTCGGCATTAAAGGCTGCGTTGACCTGGGGGTCAAGGTAATCTTTGAAAAAATGTCTGGCTCTATTTGGATTTAAACCCACAACTTTTGGGCATGCAGGTAGGTGTCTAGTCACTCTACCATGGCAGCTGCCCTTGAGATTTATGAACTAAAAAAAAAATTTAGTACTTGTTTAATATACAGTCCTAGAGAAATACAAAGCACATTCATGTCTGTCATATATTTGAAATGTCACAAGAAAGAAGTAAAGTAAAGGACCCTTTTCCAGGCCATTGGGCATGATGGGTATATATGGCTAGACCTATAATTTATAGTCCACTCTATGGGTGGTATGTTAAACATCACGCAAGTCACCTTTACTTCCCAAGACTTTACCTGGTACCCATTTTAGGCTGGGTCGACCTGCGACGTCCTATACCACGATAACAATCCATGCAGCCAGCAGTGGGTTTTTATCGCAGGAATTTGGAGTTACAAGTTGGACTTGCAATGCCTAAGCCATGGAAACCGCTATATGTATGTGTGCATATATATATATAATTTTTGATGAATCATGTGATTGTGAATAATTTCATATTTCAGGCAGATAAAGAAAAAGCCTCCCAGATGTTTCAGAGAATTGCAAATGCTTATGAGGTAAAGTAAACGAATGTTGCAGTTCATTTCATAAAAACACTAATGTCACTTTCTTAGTGACAAAAATTTAAATGATTAGCAGTTCTGTTGTATTAACTATTTGCTGCTAAAGAGGACTTAACTAAAGACCAATAAACAGTAAGCACAACAGGTGAAGTGAGTTGTTCACAGAACATGACATGACAAGAAGAGACATGATGACATGAGACAGAAATTAAGAATAGCGCTGTATTTAGAACTTACAGATAGTCAGAGATTCGACATTGCCTGACTGATTAACCCTTTCACCCGGGTGACCTATAAAACAAAATGTCAAAGACCCATACTTTTGGAATATTCAACAAAAACTTGTTACACAAGACATACAAAACATGATAACAGTTCCCAGGGGGAAGCAGCGTCAAGCAATTTTGAAATGAGTGCAATTTTGTGTAATAATCATGAAAACAGAACATTGCAGCCAGCTTGATATGGAGCGTGGTCTCCGTTATACCTTGTTCAACATAAGACTATTAAAATAGCAGATTTCTTCAAGTCATCACACTGATATTTGGTCACTAAATTACACTTGTTGGTGATTGTTTCTTTTGTTATTTGACACTTTGAATTGTGTGCATCTTTTTCTCCAGTTTCCTTTTAACAGTGCTTATGATTTGTCTTGTCCTCTCTTCAGTCACATTTTACTGTGCCGGGTGGAGGTTTTACCATATCAAGTGTAAAAGAGGGGGGGGGGGGAAACCACATGAAAAAGATTAAAGACTGCTGATTTAGCTTCATACAAAATAACTTGAATGGGGCAGAGAATTGGCTGGGTTACATCTCTCTGAGTTTTTAACAAATGTTTAGCGCGACCTGTTCTTTATTTCCTGACCTAGTCACCAGTTCCCTACCATGAACTACAGGATCAAGATTTGGAGGGCTTGTGCATACCTCAAAATAAGCTCAGATCTGAAGCACCCTTTGCACCACATGCTCTTCAAGAAAAAGGGCAATAGGTTTAAAAGGTGCAAATCATGGCTGGGTAGCTCAGAGGATGACATCATGCAGGTTTGCAGCCTTACAGACATCCATCCATGTGAGGAGTAACCAGAGTCTAAAGCGCTCAATCTCACATTCTCCTGTGTCGCGACGCTAGATAGGAGTTGTCGGGAGCAGAATCCAACTGCTGTCAATGCCGAGGTATGCGGGCTTATCAGTGACAAGTCAGATGAGACAGATGTGGTGATCTTCACAGATGGGTCCGTCATACGAGGACATAAGAGTGCATGGGCATTTACAGCACGCTCTTCAAACAGAACAGTTAAGGAGGCCAGCGGTGCCTTTTCCATGACCACCAGCAGCATGACGATGGAGGTAATGGCAGTGATACAGGCTTTCATGTGGCTGGGATCACAGGACTATTCCTGTGTGTGTGTGTGTGCTGAGTGATTCTTTGAGTATGATACGTCGGGTCGAGGCAGGCTGGTTACGCAGACAGTGACTTGAGTCATTGCAAAATTCTCCTGTGTGTGCAGTTACTTTCATATTCGTCCCAGGGCATGCAGGCGTTGTTGGTAATGAGAGAGCTGATAGACTGGCTGGTACTGCATTAATTGAAGATGGCCGGCCCATGGATCACGCAGAAATTGTCATTACCCTTAGAGAGATAGGACGTTCTGAAATTTTGGAAGCAAGGTGTCCACATCACTTCTAAGAATACACGAATTGGGAGTAAAGATCGGCACAGCCAAGCATGAGAAGCACACTGGATGCACGCAAAGTCTTGTTAACAAACATAGGACTGGTAAATATGTTGAGAGGGGAATCTGAGTGCCTATGGATGTGTCCCGGGTGCTGTGAAGATAATCTATATCATAACTCAGTTACTACTTTAACTGACTGGCAATTCTCACGTGCTAATTTTTAAAGGTTAGGCTATTTTCCATAAGGAATCCCACCTTGATGCGGTTTTAGCAGCTCTGCTTGTTATGGGTCATTCCAAAAAGTTGCCCAGGAAAAAACAGAAGCAGAGCTGTTAGCAGGGCTCCTTGTCAACAAGCTTCTATAGCAAGTTAGGAAAGGGATGTGGTGCAGACCAGAAGCAGCAGATTTTGTGCTTCTTGGGACGAGAGGTTTGAGCTTTCCACATCTTTCTCTGTCTTCCTCTGCCTCTCTTGTCTATTATTTTCTTACTGTACCCACCTGAAAGTTTGTTGAATTGTTGTGTAATTTAATGGAGATCAAGCTTTTTCTGATGAACAAGATGTTTGTTTATTTTATATTTTCTTCAGATTTTACGAGATGAAGAACAGCGGACTGATTACAACTATATGCTCGATAATCCAGGTACAACTTTATCCTTTGTGGTTCTCTAGTGTGTGCTGTCATTTTCTTGTGCTTTTTGTTTCTTCATATACCACAAGACTGATTTACCAGCAGGAACATGTTAGATTGCTCTCTTTAATCATTTGTTTTATACACATAATCTTTCTCTGTCGTCCTCTGCTCCTTTTATCTCATGTTTTCCACTTAAGGCTAATGTTCCAACCCTGCTCTTTTGTTGATATGCCTCATACATTTCATGTCTTGACTTGATTGTTTTAATGACTGATGATGTAGCTTCCTGTATTTATTAAATGTCTTGTGTCCTTAGTGACATTCTTCTCGCTCAAGTTTGGCAGACTTAGGTTGCAACTCCCCTCTCCCAGTGTCCACCATACTGGATACTGCATAAAAGTAAGCCAGATTTGTAAAACTGATCTGCATGCAAAACTCTAGTCCTGGAAAAAAGACTAAAGTCTAGAAGAGGATAAACAACTAAAACTTCATGCGGGAATTAAATTGAAGTCACTCTATTTGGCCAAATGTGTGTCACTTTATCAGCATTTGTTTTATTGTTTTTGTCTGCAGTATTCTCACCATTCTCAGTTACCACATCTTCAGCTGCTCTGTCATTTCCTTACTCATTTTCCAGTGTTTGCAGCCAACAGAACAACAAGGCTCACTAGTTATAAGTCATTTATTTCTCCATGTAATTCAGAAATACCATCTAATTAATGACTTGAATCTGTCAATGTTTTACAATCTGTTGTAAAATTTATGTTTAATTGATCATTGATGTGCGCCCACAGATGAGTACTACTCTCACTACTACCGATACTACAGGCGAAGGGTGGCTCCGAAGGTTGACGTTCGTGTTGTCATCGCTGTCGTTGTAACAGTTATATCTGTCGTTCAGGTCAGTTGCCTGTTAAGGCATTGTTAAAAATCTTTTTTTAAAGTGATAAAATAAGATTTGACTAATTTTTGTGTTTAAAAAATTGTTTTTATTGTTAATTGTTGAATAAATATTGTGGAATTGTGCTCTTCTATTGTGAACATGTGTGGCCAAGTGTTGGAAATAATAGTATCACAATCTAAATACATGTAAAGATTATGTCTATTGTTTTCAGTCAACAGTATGGCCCTCACAGATAAAGAAGTCTAAAGAATCACGTTAGTTTAAGTTATAAATATTCAATGCTAGGGTGCAGTGGCTAACCTGCTTGCCTGCTAGCTCAGTAGTCATATTTTCAAATCCTCCCATGAGATGAGAATGTTTCCAAAGTTGGGGGGGGGGGGGGAGGGGGATCATGTTTATCCAGGCAAAGTAAGGTTACCAAGAAATGTTCTGATAAGCCAGCTGGCTACTACCATGAACCCGGTACACCCCCTGGCATGAAAAGAGCTTAACTTACTTATAAAAATGCAGACTTATCTGTGGTCTTAGCTGTGCTGAATCTCTTGCATTTCTATTATAGATTTATCAGCTAGAGTTGTGTCGTAGCGTAGTAGTAGTTAGGGTTCCAAGTTCACTTCAAACAGGTCGCCCCTTACCTGCTCCATTCCAGTGAAAATCGTGTTAATTGCCTTCCCCTGTCCCATTTGAAGACTAGTGAACACACATTTATTCCTGACAGAATCCAGAAACATGCACACACAGTAATTGCCTAAAGCAGTAGTCGCTACAGGTGCCAACACCAACAGTTGCCACCAGAATTTTGTATTCCCATGTGTCAAGTAAAAGACAAGAAGAGCTGTGTCACCATGTGTCTAGATGACATTTACTGCCTGCAGTATCATTTCTGTCCATCCCCCTGTGGGTTCCGGGGCCCACTGTGTAGGGAAAACAATAATAGACCCACTGCCTCCACAACAAGCATGTCATAGGAGTCAACTCATTGGGGGTTTCCTTCGAAGTTGGAGTGCATCTGCCCTAGCGGCAAGAAACAACCAACTGCACACAAATAATCCAGTAAAACGGGTCTACACGCAAAACTCAGGCCGTGGCACAAAGCCAAAGTCCAGATGGATGAACAACCAGGACTTTCCGCAGGAGCTTACAGCCGGTAAACAAAGAAGAATTTCTGTCCATTTTCTGTATCCCTCATTGAGGCTAGATTGATCAGCTCCCTACAGTTAAATTATTGAATATTTAAGTATTTCATGTTTCTTTTTACTATATTCTTCCTTTTGTAGGCTCCGAGGCCCAATGTGGGAAAGGGGGAGGGAGTATATTTGCTTTCTAGCAAGCATGTCATAAAAGGTGACTTATTAAGCATTTTACTGAAATCTGATATATTGGGCTGATAGGCACAGATATCACAGCCTAGCTGTAAACCACAGCATGAGGTGCCAACCAGGCTTTTAAGGACACATGCAAAAGAATAAAAAGTGATGCTGTCTATATTTTTAACATATGTAATGTTAATAAGCATGTAACAAGATTGTTGTCTCTTGTAGTACTATGGAGCATGGAACAATTATCAGACAGCTTTAAGTTATCTATGCAAAGATCAGAAGTATCGCAGCAAGGCCAAAGACATAGCCTTGGCCGAAGGTTTGCTGAATAACAAGAAGAAAGGCAAACGAAGTAAGGTAGTACATACAACTGTGTCCATTTGTATGTTTGTTGTCGTTGATTTCATGCTGAAGGCAGTGGGGCTGATACACACACAAACACATAACGTAGGGGAAGGTTGGAGCTCTAACAACCTAAACCTTGTTGAAGTCACTGATAAAAACAATTAAAAAGTGCTGAAAAGCAAATAAATATTACTTGTTGCCGTTATCGGCATCTTTGCACATCGGTCCAACCCATTTAGGCTCTGTCCTCCGAGTCAGTAGCTGTCTCCATGCTGAACCTATGCAGTTGGAGTTGACTGGTATATCTTCTTTCTTCGCCCTACAACTGGTTGCATGCATGCTTGTCCTAGTTGAACACCTGTTTCCAGCTCGTGGTTCATTGTCTCTGACTCTCTTCTCTGAAAGTCTCTAGAAGTCAGCACATTCAGTATATCTGTACTTGTTCTCTCCCCCACCCCACCCCACCCCAACCACTGCAGACACGGCCAATCCGTCGGCTGTTTCTTTTACATTTATCTGGTTTATCCAAGATAGTTTCTTGAGGCCTGACTTCTAGATACTTTCAGCCCATTTGAGTCTTAGTTTGTGAGTCTGGATTTGTTTAAGCAAGCTCATTGAATCTGTCTCTATCAGTGTGTGTGAGTTGTTTTCTGTTATAGTATTTTTTTAAATTATAGTACATGATACCACACAACTAGCGCAACTGTTCACTTAAAACATAATATTTAAAATATGAGGTGTATACAAAAATTTTAATAAGAGAACTTCAGTGCAAACAAAAAAGGGGGTTGGGGGTTAAGCCCCCTCTAAAAAACGGAAAAGGGAGGGGGGGGGGGAGGGGTTAGATGCTGAAGATGCCTCTAGGTTCCACTGCCCCTAGTTAAAGGTCGTCTGAGCTACTGCCATCTTGTGAAGGGCCTTTACAAGTTCAAGACTACATCATGAGTGGGGTGAGGGGCTGTGTCATGTCATACATACAATTATAGTTTCATAATCTGTTACAGTAGCTGTGTAGTTTTAAGTGAACAGTTAGCCTAGCTGTGTGGTATCTTATGTGTGTGTGGCTATTGTTGTTTTTCTTGACAAACTGATATTCACTAGTTTACCATTGCTTTCTGAACAGTCGATTCTCGATAGCACTGTCGACACCAGTGCAGGACGGTTTGTTGCCAAATCACCTGCAGCTGGGATCGAACCTGACACCCCGGCATTACAATGTGTGTTTGCATCGACTAAGCCACAGATGCTGACATCATGTACTATACTGTTTAAAAATATCTTTGTAGTTTCTGGTATTATATTCTGATAACTTTTGTTGATGTCTCTTTTAGATTGTTGATGTCTTTTATTGTTAGATGTCAGTTTGAAATCTGAAACTCAATGATAAAGTTGTTTTACTTGTTCATACTTCTCAGGAGGAAATTAAAGAGGAAGAGGAAGCAACAATCAAGAGAATAATTGAAGATAAAATGGATATCAGGTGAGTAGTCTCTCTAATCCATATGTATGATGTTTGTGTATTTTTATGTGAGTTATGTATGTATGGAAATATGGCTTTTGGTGTTGTTTCAGATATTTTCCCTTCAAGTCGCAGCACATTTACCTGAAAGGGATTCTCAGTCTGCACACAAGTAAGCCAGATATGTAAAACAGGTGTGCATGCAAAACTCAAGTCTTGGAACAAGACTAGAATCCAGAAGTGAACGAACTATTAGAGCTTTTCACGGAGTTGACAGCCGTTGGACATAAAAAAGTTTCTAATATGAGAGTAGCTAAAAAAGATTGCTTGGCAGAGGCTGGTGAAATAAGAACATTGAATGCAACTACAGAGGAAAACTACTAATAATATTCTTACTAATAATATTCTTTGATCATATAAGGAGAAAGAGAAACATTTGTGGATACTGAGATGATTGACAAGACAGCCAAAGATCTGCAGACTGAAAGAAATGATGCTGAAAAACTTTAGATGATCGAACAGAGGAATATTAGCAGTAAAATGAATCCCCAAGTGATATCTGCAACAAAGAACATCAAGTGCTCGAAATGCTGAAGAAGTGGAAACAAGATTGTACCCTTTTTCTTTTTGGTCCAGACAGTTGTACACATCTAACAGTGGAGTTTAATTTTCTAAGCATAGTACTGTTGTTTAGTTTCTGTTTGAATTCGACACATTTGAATTCATTTCTCAACCAGCGTCAAATCAGTATCGTTGACTCTGTTTCTGTCATATGACTGCTCTTCTTAGCAGTTAGTAATGTCACCAACCCCAGAATTAAATATAGTTCAGCCATATGGAACCGAAATCAGCTTGAGGGGACAATCTTTGAGGTTGTCAGCCACAAGTTCACTGCTGCTTTTTTATTTTATGTTGTCATGTAAAGGTGGACAAAGAACACTCAAAATAAATGAATTAGCACGCCCTATTTGGGGCCCTTTGGAGAGGGGGGGGGGGGGGTTCGACCCACTATCCTTTAGCTAACATGTAATCAAAGGTGACTAAGCATGTTGTACTGAAAGGCACCTGTATCGCAGCCTAGCTGTAAACCACATCATGATGTGTCATCTGCCCTTCAGAGGGTGAAGTAAGTAGAAGTCTTGTATGTTTGGTGGGAAGCTGCCATGGTGTACAGACTAGATGCTCACCTGCAGATCAGAACGTCATGGGTTTAAATCCACATGAAATCTTTTTTTTTTTTTTTTTGAAGCATAACCTTGGCTCCTATATTGACACAAAATTAAATGGGTGCCAGGTAAAGTAAAGTCCAGGGAAGTAAAGGTGGCTGGCATGCTTTGACTGTGTCACTCTTTGAGAGTAGACTGGTCTAAAAAAAAAAAGAGTTCAGCTTCAAATGTCCGATGTGCCGCTGGCATGTAAATGGACCATTAATTTTACTTGACTACATATGTGTGAGCAAGTTAAAAGCAGACGGCAAAGGCCAGCTGGTTGTTAAATAATAAAGATGGTAGGATGTTGTAAATCTGTCTGAAGTTGAATGTTGTCTACCATGACAAGATCATCAAGGACTGAGACCGACATAGAATGTGTTTCAAACAGGAACCGTGAAACCACAACATAAATAGAGGTGTTCATTTTTGTCCTCCATTAGTATTATTGATTCACCTGGTGTGTAAGTAAGTAAAAGTAAAGGACCCTTATCCAAGCCTCTAGGCATATAGGGCATATAGGGCTAGATCTATATTTTTATAGACCAGTCGGCACCAGATGGGTGATGTGGTCAGCATCATGCCACCTGGTGTGTACTAGGCATAATATTTAGAATATAGCAACTTCTTCTGCCTGAGGAACTTCATAGTATATCATCAGTAATATTGCTGATCTAAGTTTCTTGCTAACAGAAATTAAACTCCCTGTGTGAGTTCTAGGGCCCCTTTGTGGGGAAAACAAGAATAAACCCACTGCCTGCCAAACATCGACTGATTGGTGGCTATCTTTGAAGTCAGAGTGCATCTGCCTGAGTGGCAAGGAACGGCCACCTGCACACACAAAAGCCAGAAAAAATGATGTTCACACAAAACTTAGGCACTGACACAAAGCCAAAATCTGCCTGAGTGGCAAGAAACAGCCACTTGCGTACAAAAAAGCCAGAAAAATGAATGTATAAACAAAATCCAGGCCCTGGTACAAAGCCAAAATCCAAATAGATGAACAACCAGGACTTTCCGTGTGAACAAAGGAGAAAAAGAACTTAAACTTGGGGTATTTTTATAATGGCAACTTTTTAATTGTTTTCAGAGGAGGTTATCAGAAGCCTCAGATAACAGATGTCTTGTGGGTACAGCTGGTTCTGTTTCCATACCATATACTAAAGTACATCGCCTGGTGGGTGCGGTGGGTGTGGAAGTTCACCATCAAGAGGGAGGAGTACGGCCAGGAGGAGAAGCTTCATATCATCCGTAAAAATCTTGGCTTGAGTCAGCTTCAGTTTGAGGTCAGTGCTTCCTCTTTTGTTTACCATTTTCAAATGTTAACATACATATAGTTAACTTACATATGTTTTTGTTTACATACATATAGTTAACTTACATATGTTTTTGTTTACATACATATAGTTAACTTACATATGTTTTTGTTTACATACATATAGTTAACTTACATATGTTTTTGTTTACATACATATAGTTAACTTACATATGTTTTTGTTTACATACATATAGTTAACTTACATATGTTTTTGTTTACATACATATAGTTAACTTACATATGTTTTTGTTTACATACATATAGTTAACTTACATATATTTTTTTTACATACATTATTAGCTGACATTATTAATAACAAACATTCATGTTAATTTTTGCTTGTTACCTTTACAGGCTCTAGAAGAAAGTGAAATAGAAGAATATTTGCACAAACAGTTATGGATAAAGGCACATTATAAGGTGAGATTGATCATTGACTGATGTTTATAACAAGTATTGCTTGTCTTGTCTAGACATGGCCATTATAAGGTGAGATTGATCATTGACTGATGTTTATAACAAGTATTGCTTGTCTTGTCTAGACATGACCATTATAAGGTGAGATTGATCATTGACTGATGTTTATAACAAGTATTGCTTGTCTTGTCTAGACATGGCCACATAAGGAATGGATTCACATCATCGCACTCAGGACCTTACCACACAAGCTGTGACCCCCTTGTTTTTTAGTAGCCAGTGAAAAATCCACATGCTCTTGCTCTTGTTCCAAGACATGTTTTTTTTAATGTTAGTCTAACAATTCTGGCTTATTTATGTACAGACTGGTGATTCCTCGCCTGCCTATTAGTCTTTGAAGGCAGTTTTGTTGATCCTGTCTTTGTTGTCCAAACTCCGATTTGGGATAACTAGAGAGGTCTTGAATGGTGTGTGACCTGGTCCTGGTGCACCTGAACATGTGGTTCTGCCCCCTCTGCATATCTTAACTGATAATGAAGCCTAGGCAGAAATATGCATTAGTGACTCCCTTTGTGGGTTCCAGGGCCCCTATGTGGGGAAAACAAGAATTGACCCATTGCCTCCCCAACAAGCATGTTGTGAGAGTTGCCTAATTGGGGCTTCCTTCAAAATCAGATCGCATCTGCCTGAGAGGCAAGGAACCAACAGTCTGCATACAGAATCTGTAAAATGGATGTGCATGCAACACTGGTTCTAAAACAAGACTAAAGTTCAGAGGTGTATAAGCAACCAGAACTTTCTGCCAGAATTTACAGCCTGTGAACACGAACAAGAAGCTATAGTGACTAGAGCTATAAATATCCATAATCTGACATCTTTTCAGAGTTGAAAGACCATTTACACTCATCTGCTCACTCCGGTGACATTGTTTTTAAATTAACAGGATGTTTAGTTTTTTTTTAATGTTTTTTTCAACAAGATTTTAAAACTATATGAATTCATGATAAAATCAACCTATATTGTCTGTGCTCCACAGGAATGGAAAGAAAAGAAAGAAAAAGAGATGAAATCAAAACTAGCAGAAAATTCACGCTATAAGATGTACCGCAGATATCTGAAAAAAGGAGGACCAGGCCAGATGACATTTGGACCTGATTAAATTATTTTTATTTAGCCCACGTCTTGTCATGTTTTTATCGGTTCAGAAATAGAAAACAGTTTACAGGGTACCTGGTTCAAGGACTAGCTTATTGCTCGATGAAATCATTATCTTGGGACATAAATAACTGGTGACTTTATCATCAGGGTTTGCAGTTTGGGGGGCACTTTACTTAAAAATGAGGACATGCTAGGATCACTGAAGAAATCAATGGCTGATTTCTATCAGTCTAAAGGGAGAAAAACCAGTACATTGTGCCATCTCTACACACATACAAAAGTTGGCTGCTGTTTACCTGCTGCTAAGAAGGGGATTATTACCTGGTGAGGCTGCACTATCTTCCACGGTGTGACTCTTGTGCCACTGTCTGAAAGTCTCTTCCTCAGTGCAACTCCTGTACCACTGTCTGAATGTCACAAGATCAATCTTTTTAAACTGCCAACTGTGAAAATCAAACTCTGGTTAATTATCAAAGATTGCTTTATGAAACCATTTCACTAACCTGTGAGCCACACAGTCTAGTGAAACCTAAATATGACTAGTTGGCACTGTCTGTGTGTTTTTGGTTTCAGAGATTGAGTGTAAACTGTTCTATGTTTTAGACCGAAAAACAGATGAGGAACCTTGACATCTCAGAAAGTATATATAATAAACAAACAGGCATGTATTGATCAGCGCTCATAGAAAGAGGACTCACTAGACATCTAAACATATCTGTTCTATTTATAACCTCCCTATGTAAAAGACTACCCTATTTTTCAAAGCCAGAAATTTACAAAATGCATATTTTAAATAATTTTAAGCTTTAAAAAAAACAATTGATAAAAGATATGGTCTGGAATATGGAAACATTTTGTCTAGTGTGTCCAATCTATCTACTTCTTTCTGTAAGTGCCGATCAGTACATGTCTGACAGTTTGTTAGATGTAATAGTCCAGATTAGAATGCTAGAATATTTAAAAAGTTAGAACTACTCCTGTCAGAAGAATCTCATAATACATTTGCTAATAATATTGCTGATTCAATTTTCTTGATACAAAAAAAATATTCACATATATATATATATATATATATATATATATATATATATATATATATATATATATATATATATATATATATATATATATATATATATATATATATATATATATATATATATATATATATATATATATATATATATATATATATATATATATACACACACCCACGCACACAGAGAGAGAGAGAGAGAGAGAAAGTATAAAATTATCTGGCCATCTTTTTCTTCTTCACCTGCCAGATATTGATGACCTTGACTCTCTACCCCTTTCCGTTTTCTGATATTTTGATAAAGATTCTTCTTCTTATGTGTTTGCCTTTGAAAGGGTGCTTGGTACACACTTGTCTTTTTACAGCTAGACTGCGTCTGTGGCCCAACACAGCCAGTGTTAAGTAAACTCTTAATTAGTCGTCTTTTATGGCATCATTAAGGAGCAGTGTGTCTGTTTTCTTTTGTCCCCCACACTAGACTCTTGCTGGTCAGTCACACTTTGCCATTCGCTACACGCTGTGACTCCTTAGCCTCCCTAAAGCATAATGGACCACCGTCATCAGCAAAAGGTGCCCATGTTTTGTTTATGTGCCCTATAAATTGAACTTGCCATTTACTTATCATTTTATCTACTAATCCAGTAATGACTGCGGCATTTAGTTTTCCTTTCTGCCCACCGTGTTCTTAAAATTGTTCCCCCAAAAAGAAGCACATCTCCATTGCTTCCAGTTTCTCCATCATTTTGTTATTCATTTGTTTAATTAGTTGCTGACACATACAGAAAAACAATGACACATTACAGTTCAGCAAATGTAAAACTTGCTGAGATGTTTCTGTTTTCCATGATGTCCCTTATTCTAGTACAAGTCTTTCTATTCAGCTATGAGCCCAATTTTAGCCCTAATTTAGATTGTCAAACAGATGTACTTATTGTGTTCACCTGTTGAAACACATGGCGATTGATATTGAGTTATAAAGTATTGAATGTATAAATACATGACTGAATAGATTTATTTACTTGAATAGATGTAATTATGCATGAAGTAAATAGTCCTGAAGATTAGTCCTGAGGCAGAGATGTTCAGCATGCACCCTAGCAGGTGGCTCAAAGATCATTGTCCGTTCTTTTGTTTTAAAGATCTTTTTATGCTGGGGCTCAGGCTTTTGATCTGTGACGATCACCATGACTTAATTGAATAGCTCTGCCCTGAGCCAACGTTTGGAGCACAAATGTGGGTGGCGGCCAAATACTTGCCTGTGGATCTAAAGTTTGTGTGGGTTCAGGCCTTGACAGAGCCGAATTTTTCCCCCACAAATAACCTTGTCTCCCATGTTGACCTAGCCTTAAATAGGTACCAGGTAAAGTCCCGGGAAGTAAAGGTGGCCAGCCTGATGCTGATATCATCCACAGAGTTCTGATAGGTTTATAAAATATATATAGTCTAACCCTACATTCCCTGTACCGTGAGATTATTTTTTTAAAACTTGTGCTTAGGCTTTGCGAACATGCTTTGTAATTCCAGAGTGCCGAGTTTGATCCCAGCTGCAGGCAGTCTGGCAGCAAACCTTGGTTTTCGATAATAGCTTCAAGTTAACCAGTCGAAAAGCATCGGCAAACTACTGAATGTAAAATTGCCTAGTGATATCACACACACAACAACAAAATCAGGGATTGATTCTGCAACGTCCAATAAACGACATCCAACAACTAATATTCAGGGAAGCATGTATAAATATTCTGTTGAGGATGTGCGTTGTATTTTCACAATACTGCTAAGTCTAATTTTTTATTACCAGAGCATTGTTTGTACAGTATGAACATAGAACTTTCTACCATTATTTAAAAAAAAAAAACTGCATCCAACTAAAAGAAATGTATTGGCGGGAATGTGATAAAAGTTTATTTTCACAAAAATGGACAAATAAGGAAACAGATAACAGATGGCCTGTGTGTGTTGATGAGTGTGGCAAATATGGACCAGAAAGTATTGATAAAGAGTGACAAAGATTTGACATGGTCTGAGCAGTGAAGAAATCTGGCGCATAGATGATGTCTCAAACTAAAATTCTGTACTGGCTTAGAAAGAGCAGTCGTGGTAGGCATGTTTCCTGGAAGAAGATCTAGCACAGGGGCTGGTTTCAGGACATCAAAAACACCTTGTTGTTTTCTTGCTCGTCCCTAGTTTTTTTTTCCTTCCCTCTAGTTTTTTCTTTGGCATAGGCACCTAAACCTCAGGGCCCCTTGAGCTCTGCCTTAAAAAAATAAGAGTGGGGGGGGGGGGGGGGCATGTATAGAACTATCTTTAAAAGTACTTAATATATTAAATGGTATGTCAAATGTATTAGTGTATTTAATTACCATTCACCACATTATTATTATGATGCTCTTCAACTTTTTTTTTAAAGTATTCTTTTTTGTCTCGGGATGTGATGAAGCCATGAGTGTTCACTTTTTTATTTATTGCTTTCAGACAATGGTTTCCTTTCCAGCGTTTTTGTCTTCCAGAGGTTTTTTTAGAATCAATTTCTGTGATCGTTTCTCTGATGGGCCCCTTAAGCAGTTACCGTACCCTAGGTCTTACAGGTTAATGGTTTAGGAGTGGTATTATCCAGAGGGGGAAGACCGGGTAGATAGTTAAGGAACTTAAATCAAGAGACTTTACTATCAAACAAATGCCTAATGTCAGAATGTTAGTTCTAGTTTTCATATTTTTATTCTACCTTTTTATTTTTAATCTTTGATTTTATTTTATTTTTCAACTGGAGCAGCCAGTAGAGTACCGTAAAAGTGCTTGCAGAGCCCCAGTTTAAGATGTTTTCTTGGATTTGTGATATTTTCTTGAGCTGATCCATTTGTCAGCTTCTTCTTCTGCATTCATCCGAAGATGTAATTGCGTTATGTGTCTGTTTACAGCATGGCTGCGATATTTGCACCTTTCGACAAACACATCCGACTTCTGCGGGCATTTGTTGACCGGGTTAGCCTTCCCGGTTGTCAGCATATTGTTTCTGGCTATTTGATTTTTTCATAACATCTCGTCTGAAATTCCTCAAAACATGTTTATTTGTTGTCCATATTTTGAGAACCATATAAAGCAATATTTGTTCTTGATTGCATCTTACAGGGAACAGTACTTGTTACTGAGTGAAGCTGAAGAGCTAACTAGAGCAGAAGTTCTCAACCTGTGGGTCGCTACCCCTTAGGTAGTTGAACGGCCCTTTCATATGGGTCACCTCAGACTGTCAGAAAACACATATTCATTAAAGGGTCGCCGCATTAGGAAGGTTGAGAATCACTGCTGTAGAGAAAGAGGAAAAGGCAGACTACAATTGCATGGGAATAGCTGAAGCAGGTTGTCATTGTTAGAAAACATCATGCATCCGGAAAGTGAAGTTTAGGCCCTATAGTTAAATCAGGTCACAGCATTCTGTATTCTGTGGTGCCTTTTCACATGGGCAAAGTTCTTCTCAGGTTTGGACAGTTTGCATTCTTTTGACAGTCAAGCTATATGGAACAGTGGAAGACATGTGTTGTACCAGACTTCACAGAGGCCTGTGGCCTTCTCATCTTAAAACACTAGCAGGGAGAATGACAAGAAGCAGCATAAGTTGAACAGTTTCATTCTTCAATGCTTTCTTAGAAAATCTGACACTTTATGCATGTTATGTGTGGAAGGTGGTTCTGAGGTGAATGAAACACATCAGTTGTAATGACAAGCTCAATGACTGATCAGATGGCCATTTCTGCTTCTGCCAGGTTCTGAACACACGACCTTTGGATCCACAGGTGAATATTTAGCCACTGCCTGAATTTTTGCTCCAAATGTTGACTTAGGGCAGGACCAAAAGTTAATTTTTAGAGAATCTTCTTATTGTTCATTGGCCTCAAGTGATGGTTGTTCGCCCACTTCTGGACTTTAGTCTTGTTCCAGTACCTGAATCCTGCGTGCACATACAATTTACGGATCTGATCTACTTGTATGCAGACTACTGGTTCCTTGTCTCTTAGGCAGATGCACTCCATCTTCAGAGGAAACTCCTATTTAGTCAACTTTTACGACATGTTAGGGAGGCAGTCGGTCTGTTATTTTGTCCCTCGCAGTGGGGGCCACTGAACTCATACAGGAAGAGCCGTTCTCTAAAAAGTTGAAGTCAATGTGGAGGACATCAACTTCATCATCCCGCGGATATTCTGTATGGTAGTCTCTCTCTGCAGAACAGCTAGTTGCCTGCTGAGAGCGTTGCACAAAGAATGAACTCTGTAGCTCCAGTGACAAGATATCCATACAAACTATACTGTAAGCTGAACAATGTGTCACTGAATTGAACCCGTAACCTTCAGATTGCGAGGCAAAAGGCATGAACACTTCACCATGAAGACCCTGCAAGTCTGCCAGCATGGGTGTGTCAGGTAAGAACAGAGGAAACCAAGGGTGTGTCAGGGAAGAACAGAGGAAACCATGGGTGTGTCAGGGAAGAACAGAGGAAACCATGGGTGTGTCAGGGAAGAACAGAGGAAACCATGGGTGTGTCAGGGAAGAACAGAGGAAACCATGGGTGTGTCAGGGAAGAACAGAGGAAACCATGGGTGTGTCAGGGAAGAACAGAGGAAACCATGGGTGTGTCAGGGAAGAACAGAGGAAACCATGGGTGTGTCAGGGAAGAACAGAGGAAACCAAGGGTGTGTCAGGGAAGAACAGAGGAAACCATGAGGTGTCATCCATCATTTGTATTTAAGGGCACAGCAAAACAAAGGTCTAGCTGGTAACTTAAGTTGTGTACCCAGTGACATAGGGAGCTGCAGCCAGATGTGTACCCAGTGACATAGGGAGCTGCAGCCAGTTGTGTACCCAGTGACATAGGGAGCTGCAGCCAGTTGTGTACCCAGTGACATAGGGAGCTGCAGCCAGATGTGTACCCAGTGACATAGGGAGCTGCAGCCAGTTGTGTACCCAGTGACATAGGGAGCTGCAGCCAGTTGTGTACCCAGTGACATAGGGAGCTGCAGCCAGATGTGTACCCAGTGACATAGGGAGCTGCAGCCAGATGTGTACCCAGTGACATAGGGAGCTGCAGCCAGTTGTGTACCCAGTGACATAGGGAGCTGCAGCCAGTTGTGTACCCAGTGACATAGGGAGCTGCAGCCAGATGCTACCTGAAGATCAAAGTGTGTGGGGTTCTGGTCCTGATGGAGCCGGGCGTTTGTCAGTAATGACCTTGGCCCAGCTTTGAATGGGTACCAGATAGTCCTGGAAAGTATAGGCGGTCAGCGGGACTTTTACCACATTACTCACCAAGTACTGATTGGTCTATAAAATATAAGCGTAGCCCTTTATGCCCAAGGGTCATTTACTAACGCAGTTCCCAAGAACCCTTATTTCATGTGGCTAAGTTGGTACGTTTCTTAGTCTACTGAAGATTAGAGATTATGTATTAAAATATTTTATGCATTGTGATGTCTCTTCCAGTGTTTCATAGTTATTGTTATGCATTATATTGTGATGTCTCTTCCAGTGTTTCATAGTTATTGTTATGCATTATATTGTGATGTCTCTTCCAGTATTTCATAGTTATTGTTATGCATAATATTGTGATGTCTCTTCCAGTGTTTCATAGTTATTGTTTTGCATTATATTGTGATGTCTCTGCCAGTTTTTCATAGTTATTGTTATGCATTATATTGTGATGTCTCTGCCAGTGTTTCATAGTTATTGTTATGCATTATATTGTGATGTCTCTGCCAGTGTTTCATAGTTATTGTTATGCATTATGTTGTGACGTCTCTTCCAGTGTTTCATAGTTATTGTTATGCATTATATTGTGATGTCTCTTCCAGTGTTTCATAGTTATTGTTATGCGTTATATTGTGATGTCTCTGCCAGTGTTTCCTAGTTATTGTTATGCATTATATTGTGATGTCTCTGCCAGTGTTTCATAGTTATTGTTATGCATTATATTGTGATGTCTCTTCCAGTGTTTCATAGTTATTGTTATGCATTATATTGTGATGTCTCTGCCAGTTTTTCATAGTTATTGTTATGCATTATATTGTGATGTCTCTGCCAGTGTTTCATAGTTATTGTTATGCATTATGTTGTGACGTCTCTTCCAGTGTTTCATAGTTATTGTTATGCATTATATTGTGATGTCTCTGCCAGTGTTTCATAGTTATTGTTATGCATTATATTGTGATGTCTCTTCCAGTGTTTCATAGTTATTGTTATGCATTATATTGTGATGTCTCTGCCAGTGTTTCATAGTTATTGTTATGCATTATATTGTGATGTCTCTTCCAGTGTTTCATAGTTATTGTTATGCATTATATTGTGATGTCTCTTCCAGTGTTTCATAGTTATTGTTATGCATTATATTGTGATGTCTCTTCCAGTGTTTCATAGTTATTGTTATGCATTATATTGTGATGTCTCTTCCAGTGTTTCATAGTTATTGTTATGCATTATATTGTGATGTCTCTTCCAGTGTTTCATAGTTATTGTTATGCGTTATATTGTGATGTCTCTGCCAGTGTTTCATAGTTTATGAAACCAACAAAATGTGCCAGCAGAATAGCACATTATCAGCAAAAGGATCAGCTGAGCATATATTTAAAAATCCAGTATTTCCATGATGGAGACCCAAAAAACAAAATGAAGTAGATCGACTGCAGCCCCCTAACAAGCATACCGTAAAAGTAGACTAATATGGGTGTTGTCTTTGATTTTTGAAAAAAGGCTGGAGGGATAACTGGTAAGCTTCTGTACCAATCTTTCTCCATTTTACTATTTTTGTTCACCGTGGATAGTAACATTCTTCCATCCACTCCTCCCCCTGAATAAACAAACAACTTTGACAAGCTATGAAATTACATATATTTACCATTTTTTATTGCACCCAGAATCTATTCTAAGAAATCTGAGTGGACACAAGAGCCAAAATGCAGAAAGAACTGCATGTGAAATTCCAACTAAATTTATTCGCGAAAATCATCTTGAACGACATATTTTCCTGACATAGCAAGTGTAACATTGACGTACACAATCTCTCCCAAAATACGTGAAATATGTAACTTAAATACGTGATTAGACATGCATCAACACACATACAAAATACATAATAATACGAGTGAAACATCCTGTGAACAATATGCACACTATTTCATCTTCTGTACAATGACGGCGTTGAGTAGTTTGGCTTCTTCCAGGCTGAGGGTTTCATCTACAAGTTCTTTGTTTGGAAATGTGGTCATCAGGCAAAAGTTGGAGTGTGCGTACTGGGGGTTTGTACTGAGGGTTTGGTCAAGGCTTGTCTACAACATAATCGCCAGGTAGGACTGTCTTTAGCTAAATAATTAACAAAAAGGATTGTCCACAACTAAATGATTTTTAAAATAGATTATCTGCAACTAAATGATTAGAGAAAGACTGTCTACAACTAAATGATTACAAAATGGATTGACTATAACTAAATTATAAAAAAGGGGATATTCTACAACTAAATGATTAAAAAGGGGATTGTCTACAACTAAATGATTAAAAAGGGGATTGTCTACAACTAAATGATTAAAAAGGGGATTGTCTACAACTAAATGATTTAACAAAGGGATGTTTGCAACTAAATTGTTGAAAAAATGAATGTTCACAACCAACTGCCTTGAAAAAAAAAAAGAAATGTTTACAACTTAATGATTTCTACGACATGATTTTTTTTTAAAAAGGACTGTTTACAATTAAAACTACTACTAAATAATGCAATTGTTGTCCACAACTCAATTATTCACTGTAGGTTTGTGTATACGGCAGTGTTTTTGAACCCATAGGCTACGGCCCATTTGTGAGCTGCTAACAAACGTCTGCCTCAAAACAAAGTGAAGCAGGTAGTCTTTCTGTCAAGACTGAAGTCTGTAAGAAACTGACTATCAGAAACAGTGCTCCAGTCATTTATATACGATTTTATAACTTCTAAGCAGCAGCAAATGTCACTTTAGCTACAAAACTGTCATTTTTGTGACATCAAATGTGACAAATAAACTACCAGCTACATTTGTGTATGTTTCTGGTTAGCTGTCAGGTGGGCCGTGAAACAGTTGCTCCCATTTCGGTGGTCGAGGATATAAACAAGTTGAGAAACACTGGCCTAGAGCAGTCATTTCCTTTAATAGTTCGAGGGCCAGGGCAATACGAGATACCGTTTACAAACACAAAACCTTCAGCCATTTTGCAATTCTAATATTTATAAGCCCTAGGTTTCAAGTCACAGAGAACCGCAGGTCTACAGCACTATCTACACAACGTCTACAGTATTGTCTACAGCGCTGTCTACACAACATCTACAGTACTGTCTACGATATTGTCTACAGCACTGTCTACGGTACTGTCTACAGTACTGTCTACGGCATTGTCTACAGCACTATCTATACAACGTCTACAGTACTGTCTACTGTATTGTCTACATCACTGTCCACACAACGTCTACAGTACTGTCTACGGTATTGTCTACACAATGTCTACAGTACTGTCTACGATATTGCCTACACAACGTCTACAGGTCTACAGTACTGTCTACGATATTGTCTACACAACGTCTACAGTATTGTCTACAGTACTGTCTACAGCACTGTCTAAACCACCACTGTCTACACAATGTCTAAACCACCACTGTCTACACAATGTCTAAACCACCACTGTCTACACAATGTCTAAACCACCGCTGTCTACACACTGTCTAAACCACCACTGTCTACACACTGTCTAAACCACCACTGTCTACACCACCACTGTCTACACACTGTCTAAACCACCACTGTCTACACACTGTCTAAACCACCACTGTCTACACACTGTCTAAACCACCACTGTCTACACACTGTCTAAACCACCACTGTCTACACACTGTCTAAACCACCACTGTCTAAACCACCACTGTCTACACACTGTCTAAACCACCACTGTCTACACAATGTCTAAACCACCGCTGTCTACACACTGTCTAAACCACCGCTGTCTACACAATGTCTAAACCACCACTGTCTACACAATGTCTAAACCACCACTGTCTACAATTTAGTAATTCTAGGCTGCCTGAAAATAAATAACATCTATCAAGGTGATGCTGGTGTAGAGACTACCTGTCACCTGGTACCAAAGAAGTACCTGGAGACTGTGCTGCAGGGCTCTCCTTTCCCCTTCCAAGTCCTGAAACCAACATGACGTGGAGGGCCGGTAATAGAAATTCATGCTTGTGCAACCGCATATTAGGATGTAACCTTTTGTTATCTCCACATTCACCGGCTGTTTGTCCACCTCTGGAGTTTGGTCTTGTTCCAAGACCTGAGTGTTGCATGCACATCCATTTTATTGATGTGGCTAATTTGTATGCAGATTGTTGGTCACAGCCTCTCAGGCAGACTAACATCTGCATTGGCCGGGCCAGGTGGAGAACCTTTTCCAAGGAGTACTGAGGAGGGGTCACAAATAGGTTTTGACCAGCAAGAGTCCTGGCTCCCTGCAGCACCATGTTTGATTCAGCACTGCTGCATCCCAGAGGTAACCACCACAGCACATACAGACTGGGATCAGGTGTAGGCAGGCAATGATTTCTCAAAAGGTGTCAGGTGTTTCACTGGCAACAGACCCCACCCCTAATCCCTACAGACAGGCTTGAATTAGGTATAGGTTGGCAATGATTCCTCTAAAGGTGTCCTACTGTTAAAAGACAGTAATACCCATAGAAAAAGAAACAAATAAAGACCGTACAAACCCACTGCCTTGAGGCTGGGCATTATGAGAACATCAGAAAGGCAGCCCATATCAATGTGATCATCTGATGGTATCAAACTAATTTGTCCCAACACCATTATCTAGGTGCTGCTACATAAAGGATACGCCACAATGTGTTGTCTGATGTCTCCAATGGTGTGCGAATGATTCAGTTTAAGCACCAGCCTGAAAAATAATTATATATATATATATATACACATATATAAGCAGTTTAAAATGGTTTAACCCAGTTGTTACTAATTCTTTTTCTTCTTCTTCTCTCTCTCTCTCTCTCTCTCTCTCTCTCTCTCTCTCTCTCTCTCTCTCTCTCTCTCTCTCTCTCTCTCTCTCTCTCTGATTAAGAAGAACCTGTGCCATGCAAGGAGGAGGTGAAGATTCAGCAAGTGGCAGAAGAACAATTTAACAGTAACAGACATGATCTGACAGTAACAGACATGATCTGACAGTAACAGACATGATCTGACAGTAACAGACAGGATCTGACAGTAACAGACATGATCTGACAGTAACAGACAGGATCTGACAGTAACAGACATGATCTGACAGTAACAGACAGGATCTGACAGTAACAGACATGATCTGACAGTAACAGACAGGATCTGACAGTAACAGACAGGATCTGACAGTAACAGACATGATCTGACAGTAACAGACATGATCTGACAGTAACAGACAGGATCTGACAGTAACAGACAGGATCTGACAGTAATGAGGAAAAGGGACAAGGAAGATGAGGCATAAACAGAGAAAAGGAGGAAGAGGAAAACAGCATCAGTAAAACACCCTAGAAAATAGAACAAGCCAAGCAAGAGAAGATAGAAACTACAAACTACATCAGCGCCTGTCCATGTGCTGCTAATGAAACAACCTAACAATGGTACCGTACCTGCCACCATCTGCCAGGCGCAGCTGAACACTCGTGACTGGCTTAGTCTCATCAACAGCTAAAGTAGGAGCAGAACTGTCACCTGCAGGAGGCTCTGCTGATTTTATCACATTTGGGACGGGGCTGAAACAGAAGTACTGATCACTATTAAAACCAATGGTACCAGCACTAGGGGAGCCACCGTGCTGTAGCAGCTGGATGCTCCCCTAATACAGCTGGATATTTTCTGAAAAAATTACCTTGGCTTCCAGATATACCCAGGTTTAAATGGGCACCAGGTAAAATCCTGGGAAGTAAAGGTGACTGGCGTGATATTAACCACATCACCCACCGAGTGTTGACTGGTCTAAAAAATATAGGTCTAGCCCTATATGCCCAGTGCACCTGAAGGGTCCTTCACTAGCACTGCACTATCTTTCTGGGCATTTGGTTGAAGTCTGTAGACCAGGGTTTGGCAAACTATGGCCTGTGGGCCAAAACTGGCCCAGTCTAGCAATTTTTATTGGCTCGTAAGGCTGGTGTAAAGTTATTATATATTCTAGCCTTTGAGTTCACAAAATAGCAGAATACAAAAACACACATCATCATCACCAAGCACTAAATGACATCATCATGTGGCATCTCCTTTGAACAAGACTGCTTTCATCACAGCCCAACAAAAAGATTTGATCATTTTACCCATGAGAAAAATTTGATCTTTTTTTTTACCATCAGAAAGACTTGATCTTTTGATCCATCAGAAAGACTTGCTATTTTTTTGCCGAGCAGAAAAACTTGATACATCAGACAAATCTAATCTTTTGATCCATCAGAAAGACTTGATCTTTTGATCCAACAGAAATACCTGATCTTCTGACCGACCAGAAAAACCTGATCTTTTGATCCATCAGAAAAATCGAATCTTTTCATCCATCAGAAAGATTTGATTTTTTGATCAAGAGAAAGACTTGACCTTTTGGTCCATCAGAAAGACTTGATCTTTTGATCAATCAGAAAAATCTAATCTTTTAATAAACCAGAAACATGTGACCTTTTGATCCATCCGAAAAATCTAATCTTTTGATCCATCAGAAAGACTTGATCTTTTGATCCAACAGAAAAATATAATCTTTCGATCCATCAGAAAGATTTGATCTTTTGATGCACCAGAAAGACTGGATCTTTTGATCCATCAGAAAAATCTAATCTTTTGATCCATCAGAAAGATCTGATCTTTTGATCCATCAGAAAGACTTGATCTTGTGATCCAAGAGAAAAATCTAACCATTTGATCCATCAGACAGATTTGATCTTTTGATGCATCAGAAAGACCTGATCTTTTAATCCATCAGAAAAATCTAATCTTTTGATTTGATCTTTTGATCCATCAGAAAGACTTGATCTTCTGACCAACCAGAAAGACAGTTCCAGTCTTATGTCTGTTTCTGACCAGGGTGTCTTCAACACGCTGTGTCCACTGTGGCTTACGGTAGTTAGTCCACTGTGGCTTACGGTAGTTAGTCCACTGTGGCTTACGGTAGTTAGTCCACTGTGGCTTACGGTAGTTAGTCCACTGTGGCTTAAAGTAGTTAGTCCACTGTGGCTTACGGTAGTTAGTCCACTGTGGCTTACGGTAGTTAGTCCACTGTGGCTTACGGTAGTTAGTCCACTGTGGCTTACGGTAGTTAGTCCACTGTGGCTTAAAGTAGTTAGTCCACTGTGGCTTACGGTAGTTAGTCCACTGTGGCTTACGGTAGTTAGTCCACTGTGGCTTACGGTAGTTAGTCCACTGTGGCTTACGGTAGTTAGTCCACTGTGGCTTACGGTGTCCTCTGTGGCTTACAGCGGCCACACCTTCCATCGCTGTTCTCTCTGACCCAGTTTCTTTCTTTCTTCTGTGCTCACCCTTAAAAAGGCAGTATGTTATGTTGTGGTTCACAGCTGAGCTGCAACATCTGCAAGTTTTTGCCCAATGCCTGGCTTCACCAAACTCCTGATGGGAACAATTATTACAGATACTTTGGAGTGGCCTCCGCAACAATTGACTCAGCACGCATGGGAATGCCTTATGTGCAATGACAACAACTGAAATAACATAACGTAACTTCATGAATTCCTTGAATCATCTCCTGTTAAGGGCAGTGGGTCTACTCTTCGGTCCCTAAAAATCATGGGGTCCCAGGACCCACACAGGGTAAACCACGATGACACTGAATGTGGGAAAATATTTTGAGTTTCTAAGAGGCAATACCATATATGAGCCATTTTGATTCAATCTTCCCATCTCGTAGTTCTATGTAATTTTTGTGTCTTCTTGACCCACAGTGTAAAGGTAAAGTAAAGGATCTTTTATTCTCTACGCCTCTAGGCGCATTGGGCACACGCGGCTACAATTATATTTTACAAACCAATCTACACTTGGTGGGGGATGTGGTCAGCATCAGGCCGGCCGCCTTTACTTTCCAGGTTTTTTACCTGGTAACCATTTAGGGCTTGGTCAACATGACACATCTGACAGATTTATGTGCAGACTGTTGGTTCCTTGCCTCTCAGGCAGATACACTCCAACTTCAAAGGAAACTCCCAATTAGTCGACTCTTACGATGTGCTTTTGGGTAGGCAGTGGGTCTATCCTTGTTTTCCCTTTAACAGGGGCCCAGAATTCACTGTGGCATCCAGATTTGAAGCTATGACTTTCTGGTCCACTGGCAAGAGTCTAGCTCTATACTTTGGCTGCTTCCCAAGAGGTAAAGGAACCTATTTAAGCTAGTGGGACATGAGGCATATTGTGCTCGGCACAACTGTATAAACCAGTCGGCACTCTGTTATTGGTTATATGGTCAAAATCAAGCCATCTTTACTTTCAAGATTTCCCAATACACATCTGAGGCTATGCTGACCTGGAAGCCTAGCTTAATTTCAAAAACCAAAAATGCTGACTCAATGCAGATTCAACCTCAAGACCTTGGACAAACTGGCAAGCATCTAGTCACTTGGCTACCTCAATTACCTTCATGCACAGTATTCTCAGAATGTTTCTGTAACATTCAAGTTCTAAACAATCATATTTCTTCTTCAATGATTGTGGAATTTAAATAAACGAATAAAAGCAAGAAACAGATTTACTGAATTCTTAATCTATTTTACCTGCCCAGCATGTGACCTGCCCCTGAGAAAGCTTTGACTGCGATCTTTGATTTAACGTAATCCTCCGAGCGATGATCTTCCATGTCAAGATTGACCTCACCTCCCCTAGCTTCACGGACAAGTTCTTGAGGAACTTCACTGAAGCAAACACACACGTGTTACTTTCACTGTTGTTAGCATACTCCACATACAACACAGATACTCAATACTGACTGCATATTTATAACCTAGCACTATAAATATAATCAGCATATGTGCAGGTGTAATGAAATCCCATGCTATCATTGTAGAAGACTTTTCTTGACACGGGCAGGTCTTTCTAGTCTCACTCGCCATCACCATGGGCTGTGAGTCTCACGCCTCCTCATAGCGCAATATAATACAATCGTCTGGAAAGACGGAAAGCCAACAATGTGAACAGAATACATTGCATAATTCAATGGTATGGCCTATTTCACTTATCTTGTCACTACAGTTATATCAAAACACAATGAAGCATAACAAATGAACCCTTTTTCCACAGAAGTACACAAACTGGTCTTGTCTAGTCATGCTGTACATGAAAAGTTCATGTGGTTATCACAAAAGTTTCACATTTACAACAAGCTTTTTGGGGGGGGGGGGGGGGGGGGGGTTTGCATAATACAGGATTTTTTCCATTTTATTGTAACTGCTTTTGGTAATTTCAGTAATCACCTGCTCAGTGTGCATGTGTATTTTATTAAAATAAATACTGCAATAATCAAAATATATTTAACCAGATAAAGTGAACTATATATAATGATGGGATATCTTCTGATAATCCATCAGAAGCCACTGTGTAGCCTACATACTCCCATGATTTACAAACCAATGAGGCAGGAAGACAAGGACAAGAATCGTCACATCTAACAATTTTTTAAGTATGAGCAGTGGCATGGGGAAAAAAATGAATATTTTGGTCACAGCTTTTATCAACGAGCACTCAATCAGCAGATCCTTTACAGAACCTCACTATTGTCACAGCACACCTGAAAGTCACTTTCTCTAACTAATTATCAAGCCCTATGTGTTTTCAAAGTCAATGCATCTTCGCTATCCTGTATCCATCTTCACAGAAGTCAGCCCCTGCCTCAATTCTGGAAACTGGACTGTCCATCACAGTTCTCTCACCTTGACCTTCAATGTGGCCGAAGCAGCCCAGCCTTCAGGACAGGATGCTGTTTATGAGCCAGTTCTCCACAATGCTCAGATCGTGTAGGATGTCAATGTTGTTCTTTTTCATGGTCCATGGTATTCTTAGTGTTTTCAGTGAGTACTACAACAAGGAAAAGAAGAGTCTTGGGTGCTAGCTTCCACAATGTGGAGTCAGGTGAAGAATCTTGGGTGCTAGCTTCCACAATGTGGAGTCAGGTGAAGAATCTTGGGTGCTAGCTTCCACAATGTGGAGTCAGGTGAAGAATCTTGGGTGCTAGCTTCCACAGTGTGGAGTCAGAAAGAAGAATCTTGGGTGCTAGCTTCCACAATGTGGAGTCAGGTGAAGAATCTTGGGTGCTAGCTTCCACAATGTGGAGTCAGGTGAAGAATCTTGGGTGCTAGCTTCCACAATGTGGAGTCAGGTGAAGAATCTTGGATGCTAGCTTCCACAATGTGGAGTCAGGTGAAGGGTCCTGGGTGCTAGCTTCCACAATGTGGAGTCAGGTGAAGAATCTTGGGTGCTAGCTTCCACAATGTGGAGTCAGGTGAAGAGTCCTAAGTGCTAGCTTCCACAATGTGGAGTCAGGTGAAGAATCTTGGGTGCTAGCTTCCACAATGTGGAGTCAGGTGAAGAATCTTGGGTGCTAGCTTCCACAATGTGGAGTCAGAAAGAAGAGTCTTGGGTGCTAGCTTCCACAATGTGGAGTCAGGTAAAAGAGTCTTGGGTGCTAGCTTCCACAATGTGGAGTCAGAAAGAAGAGTCTTGGGTGCTAGCTTCCACAATGTGGAGTCAGAAAGAAGAGTCTTGGGTGCTAGCTTCCACAATGTGGAGTCAGAAAGAAGAGTCTTGGGTGCTAGCTTCCACAATGTGGAGTCAGAAAGAAGAGTCTTGGGTGCTAGCTTCCACAATGTGGAGTCAGAAAGAAGAATCTTGGGTGCTAGCTTCCACAATGTGGAGTCAGAAAGAAGAGTCTCTGGTGCTAGCTTCCACAATGTGGAGTCAGAAAGAAGAGTCTTGGGTGCTAGCTTCCACAATGTGGAGTCAGGTGAAGAGTCCTGGGTTGCTAGCTTCGACAATGTGGAGTCAGAAAGAAGAATCTTGGGTGCTAGCTTCCACAGTGTGGAGTCAGAAAGAAGAGTCCTGGGTGCTAGCTTCCACAATGTGGAGTCAGGTGAAGAACAACTATACCCAAACATAAAATACAGGACTGCAGTCAACCCTATTTTCATGACTCTCGGAGGATGAACAACAATGGAGTCATGGACAGTTAAGATTGCTCTAGACCAGGCACCAGAAGGGGTAGTTAATCTTAGTCATGCTGTAGTTGTTTCAGTGCCATGTGTCATGTACTTGGTCTCTCTGTCTTATTGTGGTTGTTCAGCGACTTATACCTTTGGACTGTATGGTTTTTATGTGGTTGTTCAGTGGCTTATACCTTTAGACAGTATGGTTTTTATGTGGCTGTTCAGTGGCTTATACCTTTAGACAGTGTGGCTTTTATGTGGTTGTTCAGTGGCTTATACCTTTAGACAGTGTGGTTTTTATGTGGTTGTTTAGTGGCTTATACCCTTGGACTGGTTTTTATGTGGTTGTTCAGTGGCTTATACCTTTAGACAGTGTGGTTTTTATGTGGTTGTTTAGTGGCTTATACCCTTGGACTGGTTTTTATGTGGTTGTTCAGTGGCTCATACCTTTGGACAGTGTGGTTTTTATGTGGTTGTTTAGTGGCTTATACCCTTGGACTGTGTGGCTGTTCAGTGGCTTATACCTTTGGACTGTGGTTTTTATGTGGTTGTTCAGTGGCTTATACCTTTGGACTGTGTGGCTGTTTAGTTGCTTATACCTTTGGACTGTGTGGCTGTTCAGTTGCTTATACCTTTGGACTGTGTGGCTGTTCAGTTGCTTATACCTTTGGACTGTGTGGCTGTTTAGTTGCTTATACCTTTGGACTGTGTGGCTGTTCAGTTGGTTATACCTTTGGACTGTGTGGCTGTTCAGTTGGTTATACCTTTGGACTGTGTGGCTGTTCAGTTGGTTATTCCTTTGGACTGTGTGGCTTATACCTTTGGACTGTGTGGTTTTTATGAAAACAGGAAAAGGATGGCAATTTTCCTGCTCATGCTGGGCTAGTGGACCTGACATCTAGTCATATCAGACTAGGAACAAATGTGTCGACTCTGGACTGGACAATGTAGTCTTAGAGCACAACTAAATAAAACAAGTATAACACAGTCTGACAGCTGTTCTTCTACTTTTGCTATGCGTCTATTCCAGTATGGAGTCATAAACAGGACAATACACTTGAGGTCTTCATTGGCGCCCCAAAGTTTCTCTGTAAAAATGCTCCTGTGGGCCTGATTTCTTCTTTTTGACCAACAAAGTCTGGGTAATCCTGCAAGACATGCTCTGGAGTCTACTTTGGTGATCCACAACCACACACAGCTCAGTTAGCAACATCCATCCAATGTAGGTGTGCTCTCAGTTGGCAGTGTCCCTATCATGTCTAACGATTTTGGTCTCAGCATTTCTCCCAAGCCTGCCATGATTTGGTTATAATTTGTAATTGTCCTCTCTCAAGTTTATCTTTATTGATTACTTTGAGAACGTCTAGTTAGTTAGTCAACATATTATCCTCACTGCACCCTGAACCATTCAGTCAAAAAGTGCTAGGATCCCCTCCTCAATAAATTCTGTGTTGGTTTCCTGTTCTTCTTTTGCTTCCTACATAGTGCCCTTGTCTGGCCACACCCCTTTTAATATGCAGTTCTTGCAGTCTGGTCATGTTTGCATAATCAGTCATCACTTGGTTCTTGCAGTCTGGTCATGGTTGCAGATTCACAGTCATCACTTGGTTCTTGCAGTCTGGTCATGGTTGCAGATTCACATTCATCACTTGGTTCTTGCAGTCTGGTCATGGTTGCAGATTCACAGTCATCACTTGGTTCTTGCAGTCTGGTCATGGTTGCAGATTCACAGTCATCACTTGGTTCTTGCAGTCTGGTCATGGTTGCAGATTCACAGCCATCACTTGGTTCTTGCAGTCTGGTCATGGTTGCAGATTCGCAGTCATCACTTGGTTCTTGCAGACTGGTCATGGTTGCAGATTCACAGTCACTACCTGGTTCTTGCAGTCTGGTCATGGTTGCAGATTCACAGTCATCACTTGGTTCTTGCAGTCTGGTCATGGTTGCAGATTCACAGTCATCACTTGGTTCTTGCAGTCTGGTCATGGTTGCAGATTCACAGCCATCACTTGGTTCTTGTAGTCTGGTTATGGTTGCAGATTCACAGTCATCACTTGGTTCTTGCAGTCTGGTCATGGTTGCAGATTCACAGTCACTACCTGGTTCTTGCAGTCTGCTCATGGTTGCAGATTTCACAGTCACTACCTGGTTCTTGCAAACACTTTACTTCTCTCAGAGCATGTCAGCATGGTCCATGGCACGTCTGCCCACCACAGTAACTTTACCTGCAAGCCTATTAGTTTGCTCATTTCCTTGCATGCCTATGAAGCTGATATGTGTCAGCCCTGAGAGCCTCAGAAACTCTAAACACTGTCTTCGGACTCAGCCCATCTCTATCTTCCTGAGCATTCCAATTGAGTCATTGAGAAAACATGCTCAGGTAAAGATTTGTGTCAAAAAGGCATCTTTGAATCTTTAAATCTTTTGAGGCGAATGAGGCTGCTCTAGGTACTGCCACCTGTGATTGCAAGGTAAGGCAGACTCCTGAACATGTACTGCTGACTGTCTTGTTACTCTCCAGAGGTTGTGGACATGGCTCAATAGAGCTACATTGCCAAACAAGCTGTGGGAGACCTGATCCAAGAGAGCTACATTGCCAGACAAGCTGTGGGAGACCTGACACAAGAAAGCTACATTGCCAGACAAGCTGTAGGAGACCTGACACAAGAGAGCTACATTGCCAGACAAGCTGTGGGGGACCTGACACAAGAGAGCTACATTGCCAGACAAGTTGTGGGAGACCTGACACAAGAGAGCTACATTGCCAGACAAGCTGTGGGAGACCTGACACAAGAGAGCTACATTGCCAGACAAGTTGTGGGGGACCTGACATAAATGTTTAGCACAACGGACACTAAAAACAAAGGACAAGGGTTAAAAAAAAAACTCAAAACCAGTGTGCAAGATGTCCCTGCTGTTAGTCCTTATGCAGTGATTGCTAAATATAGGCCAAATAAAGACATACCCTCGAGCCACACTCTCCAGGAACTGCTTGTTTTCAGGGTCATTGTAGTCACGAAGGGGGCCATTGTCGATGCTAAAACCAGACTTCCAGAGCTTCAACTTTTTATAAACCTGTTCAATCAGAACAAGAAACAGCAGGTAAATACTCATAAGTCAAAAGTATATATTAAGTTCCTGCCTTTAAAAAAATGTTACCACAATTAAAGATACTACTGATGAAAGGTAAAAGGTGACAACCATATAAGATATAAGTGGTAAAAAGTAACCCCATATAACATTCTAGTGATGAAAGATAAAAGGTAACCCCATTTAAGATAATAGTGATGAAAGGTAAAAGGTAACCCCATTTAAGATACTAGTGATGAAAGATAAAAGGTAACCATATGGATGTGAAAACAAGCACCTGGATGTGCACCAAATCAATTGTAAATAAAAACAAGAAGGTGAAACCTGCTCTCTGGCGTGAGACTGTGAAGCTCCAGCAATGACAGTGGTGTCTTCTGGGGTTTCTCCCAGCCTGTAGCCTGCCCCACCAAATGCTACTCTGTGCGCCTGAAGGGACAGCTGTTCTTCATCTTGCTTTTCCTCCGCACCATGTCTGTGAAAGACAAAAAAGTCACATCTGTCTGTCATTCCTCTCGTGGCTGTAGAGATCAAGGCAAACAAGGTATCAGGGGGGTCTCCGTAAGAAAGTGGTTAAGCCATTTGCCTCGCAATCTGAAGGTCATGGCTTCGTTTCACGGCTGCATCCTTTGGTTCATAGGTGCAATTTTTATGGAAACCTCTGGGGGTCGTTGTCAGAGCTACTGAGTTCTTGCTTTGGCTGATGCTCTAGGCAGGTGTCTAGCCATTCTGCAGAGAGACCCAGTGCAAAAGAGTCGATCCTCTGGACTTTGACATTGAAACTGTCAATGTCACATATAAATACATTTACTGCTTTTATTGTCTGATCAAAGTCTGGTTAGTGCCTCTTTTTTTTCTACATAAATGCTGAAGTTGGTTCTGCAATCTCTTGTAAAAGACACGCAAGTTTTTTTTTTAAAGAGGAGTGAGTCTGTGGGGTTGGGTGGGGGGTGGGGGGTTTGTGGTTTAGCAGCTAGACGCTCCCCTGCAAATTGGAAGGTTTGGCTACCTGCCTTTAGATGATGAGATTCATCTGTGCGTGCATCTTTCTCTGTGTGTCTGTGTCTAGCTGTGTATGGGTGTCAGCGTGAATGTACAGGTGTGTGTGTAAATTAGTGCATGTGTGGGCGCGTGCATGTGAGTGTATGAGTGTGTGTGTGTGTGAGTCTACATGTGTGTAGAGACACATCATGACAAGCCGGATGTGTTCAAGACCCTATGGCCCCACTATTCAACTAGTGGCATGTGTGCCAAAACTGCCCCGAAGAGGCCTAGAAGTGGCCCGCAAATCATTGCCAGTTGTTTTGTATTAATGGCCTGTGATGGTCCCCATTTTTTATATTTTGGTCTCTGAGTGAAGGCTGAAGAGCCCTGCCCTATGAAACTGAGTGAACTGTGCAAAAGCACAGACAGATCATCATGGTCTGAAGAGAACGGTACAGAAGGAAGTGATCAGAGAATATGGCTGACACTCAACACTCAGAGGAAGAGCAAGACAGACATAGACTCTACTGGTAACACTAAAACTGAACCCTGTGCTGGGTGCTGAACATGAGTAAAGAGTGCTTATGGGAATGTCTCAAGTGCCACGATGATGCAGGTATATAACTCAGCTCAACTCTACAACAGCTTTCTATCATTTAAAACACACAGATGGACACGCCAGTTATGAAACAAACAGAATGTCCACGGTGGCTAACGGTCATTACAGAATCCCAGTTCCATGGTCCCAGGTTAATTACACTTCTCTTCCTCCTGTTCACCAACTGTAAACTCTGACAGAAAGTTCTGGTTGTCTATCCACCTCTGGACTTTCCTCCTACTCCAGAGCCTGAATGTTGCATGCATATCTATTTTACAGATCTGGCTTATTTGAATGCAGACCATGGTTCCTTGCCTCTTGGGCAGATGTACTCTGACTTCAAAGGATGTTCCTAATAAGTCGACTCCTTTGACATAATTTTTTGTTTTCCCCAACGCGAGGCCCCGGAACACACATCTGGGATTGCACCACACAATCCTAAACAGTAAATTTAATAAGTGATCCTGATTAAACATAAGTCATCTGCTGAAATGTGAGAAACTTTTACACCTTCCCCATGATGTTTCCGGGACCCCCAGTTGGAAAAGAGGGGATGAACACACACATTATCCCCCCACCCCTCCTCCAACAAAGCATGCTGTACAAGGCAACTAACTAGGGTTTGCTGAAATCAGAACTGGTGTTAGGCCAAAAGGTGCAGATATCACAGCCTATCTGTAAACCACACCACAATATGCCAACCACCCTTTTATTGGTGAGCACAGCTGAAGAAGAAGTAGTTTCTTTCCGCTAAACTGACTGTTTGCCACCTAACAAGCGTTGTTAAAGTCTCAGAGAACACAAACACTGAACTGATTGTACTCACTCCTTGGCTGACTTAAAGAGGTTGTCCACCAGCTTGTCAGCGTTTTTCTTCTTCGGGGGTCCCAGGATCTGCTGCCCACTACAATTCAAACATTACCGGGTGTTTCAGAATACAATAGTCTCATGCACATAGAAGCATTCAACAAGTCTGAATTGTCTCTGTCTTTCAGACATGTTTCTAACGCATACACAACATATATACGTAGACACATATATGTACATACACACACACACACACACAAGTATATACAGAGTTAGCCACACACAAAAACCATGTTCACAGTTAAGGCACAGCAGTGAAGTGTATCTATGTGTACGATATTCGGCAGCAATGTGTTGCATGAAGATCTTAAAATAACAACCTGTATTTACTGATACTAAATTTATTCAGACACAAGCAGATGCTTGAGTTACGAGAGATTTATGAAGTTATTAAAAGGTGCTCACAAAGTGATTACCTTTAACCTCCAGGCACTTTTCATTACAAGAATACAAAGCATAGATACTGTAATACGATCTAAATATGGTGGAATATGGCATGTTATGATGACGTTTTAAACAATAACCCTCTATCAAAATGTTTATGCATTTCATTGATAGGCAATTAATGTGTGTACATTTGTTTATCTGGCGCTCTCTCTCTCTCTCTCTCTGTGTGTGTGTGTGTGTGTGTGTGTGTGTGTGTGTAACAGCTACTATCACAACTTTTGCTACAGTGGCTGCTACTAATATTATTACTACTACTACCACCACTTCTAATTACTGGCTCATCCATTTTGTTCATTCCATTCTTCTCCACATCCGTCTTTCCTTCCCCCTCCTATATTCATCTGCATGTTTAGACAGGCAGACAGACAGACAGACTGGTTGGTTCTGCACCACTGGATGGTGAACTGATGCATGACAATGTAGATGTGACTATGGTCTTTTGAGAGCATAAGAGCCGATCCTCATGGTCTGGACACAATAATGGTAAGTAACCAGAGATCTGACTGACTTTCACAGGAAAGGCAAGATGAACACAGCTACCACCATTATTTATGAATCCTCTGGTACCGTGTGGGCCTCCATGTGGGTTCCAGGGCCTCCATGTGGGTTCCAGGGCCTCCATGTGGGTTACAGGGCCTCCATGTGGGTTACAGGGCCTCCATGTGGGTTACAGGGCCTCCATGTGGGTTACAGGGCCTCCATGTGGGTTCCAGGGCCTCCATGTGGGTTCCAGGGCCTCTATGTGGGTTACAGGGCCTCCATGTGGGTTACAGGGCCTCCATGTGGGTTACAGGGCCTCCATGTGGGTTCCACAGCCTCTATGTGGGTTCCAGTACCTCCATGTGGGTTCCATGGCCTCCATGTGGGTTCCAGGACCCCATATGGGTTCCAGGGCCTCCATGTGGGTTCCAGGGCCTCCATGTGGATTCCAGGACCCCATGTGGGTTTTAGGACCCCATGTGGGTTCCAGGGCCTCCATGTGGGTTCCAGGCCTCCATGTGGGTTCCAGGACCCCATGTGGGTTCCAGGACCCCATGTGAGTTCCAGGGCCCTATTGTAGAGGCAACAAACAAAAAGAACAGACCAATTGCCCCCTAACAAGCATGTCATAAAAGTCAACTCCCCGTGTGGGTTCCAGGGCCCTATTATAGGGAAAACAAAAATAGACCAACTGCCTACCCAAAAGCATGTCGTAAGAGTCGACTAATTGGGAGCTTCCTTCGAAGTGCATCTGCCTGAGAGGCAAGGAACCAGCAGTCTGCATACAAATAAGGCAGATCTATAAAAAGGATGTACATGCAAACCTCAAGTTCTGGGACAAGACTTCACTCTACGAGTCCCAGGGAACATAAAGATTCAAATGTTCCTCCTACCTAGAAACCCATTTAATACAGGATGCACTGATGTTATGTTTCTCTTTACTACCTCTTGGGCCTGTGATGCTAAACCTACTGGGACTCAACGAGTAAAGTTCAGAAGTAAACAAACAACCAGAACATTCCGTTTAAAGAATGCAAAGAATAGAAATAATCCTCTGGGAGGCAGTCCGAACTATGAGATCTGATGCACTGGCAATCAGGTCACCTTAGCCCTGACAAGAGCTTGCTTCTGTCAGCGTGAAGCTGGTGAAAAAGAAACACTCTCTGCTACCCTGGCAGCACAGCTGACGATAAATTAATGGAGTTAAATTTTATCTGCAAAAACACAATCAGCTGACTAATAAAACACAAGACAGGACTATCAGCTTTTCAAGAACACACGAAACAGAACAGATATTGCAGCTAGAAAACCTTCACCAGCACATAAAAACAATAAGACAATTACACAGAAAAACTACAACAAATAAGGTAGATTAGCTTTCTGGACTGTGAAAGTAAAACAAACCAAAAAAGTTGCAATGAAAACACTGGACAAATGATAAAGACAAGACTGGGAAGTGACAGTTCTAGGGACTGTGACCACAGAAAATTAACCAAGGAAATCTGTTGTAAAGCTGTACAATGTTGATGAATTCATTAACAAAATGTAGTGTCCAACTAATCAACTGACATTTCATCAATCAATCAATCAGGTGCCGTCTCCACAATGAAGGTTGGCTGCAATGGATCTCCAACATCCTCTTTTTCTTGTCCTAGTTGTACACTCTCTCTGACTGCTACCCGTCCATCTCTTGATACTGTCCTCCCACCTGTATCGTTGCCTAACTCTTGCCTTCAACCTTTCCCTCCAGTATGGTTTTCAAAAGTGTGTTGTGTCTTTTAATGTGGCCATAGTATTTTCAATTGTCTCTTTTTTATTTCTTTCAGTAATTCTCTTTCCATTCGTAGTCTTTCGAGCACCTCTGTTTTTGATTCCATGAAATACGACCTATTCTTCTGTATACCCACATTCCATGAGGCAAGCCGAAGCCTGAAGTTGTTTTTCTTTTTATTGCCGGGTGCACTGGTTTTTTCCAGCCTGTGATTCGGATTTTGTCCCAGCTCCAAGCACCCACTGAAGCATACAAGCTGATGTGGATCAACACCTTATTGGCTGAGGGGCTGCCCAGCTTGAGGTGGGTGGTAACTCATCAGTGACATTAAAAAATTTCTCCCATTGTCACACACCAACTGACAAGGACTTATAAATGGTAACTGCTGCTTCTTGATTTGTTTCAGAGACCAATTAAGGCCAGGAATGCAAACACTGCTGACACAACTCAGCGCTCAGCGAAGAGTCGTAATGCAGTGGATACCGTCTCATTGTGGAGTGCCTGGAAATGAGAAAGCTGATCAACTGGCAGGGGAAGGTGCGAAAAAAGAGCAGCCAGATGTACCAGTCACATACCACCAAAAGAAAAGAATCATTAAATCGATCAGGAAACCACCAGCCCCAGCACAAGACGACTATTTTATTATGGACAGACCAGAACAAGTCATTATCTTCCACCTCAGAACAGGGCACAACCGATTACGTAACCACATGTACACAAAATTCAAGATAGGTGTATCAGCCATGTGCACCTGTGGAAATGTGCCCCAGACCGCAGAGCATGTACTCCAGGACTGCACATTAAGGCAAACCTTTTGGCCAGAAAGAACAACAGTGGAACGTAAACTCTATGGACCACTGAATGAACTAACAACGACAGTGAAATTTATACAAGAGACAAAACTGCTGATATAGATAACTTATTTCAGGCGAACGAAAGAAGAAGAAGAAGGCCAGGAATGAAGTTCTTTCTCTCCACCGCACAAAGCCTGGCCAGTATTATAGAGACATTTGTTGCCCATGCATCATAATTTCTCTCTCGACATGCCTTGTTTACTCCAAAGGAAAGGTAACACCAGTACATTTGGAACAAAACAAGCTGCAGAAGCTGCCAGATCAAAACAGCAGTGCTCTATCTGTCTGCCTGTCAGAGCTTTCCTTTTAGACCAGCTGCCAGCCAAGGCAAAGGGCCTGGTCTGCCCTGCCATAACACAAAGTTTTCAGGTTGCATTTCCTCTTCCTAGGATAAGGCTAGTATCCTCCCCAAAGCGCTCCTCCACCCGAAGTGTTGACACAATATGGGATGTTAGGTTTAGTATATGCTGACCAACATTCCGCGTAACAAAAGACAGATGGTACCAGCTACTGTTTTACAGTAGCTCAGTCTTATCTGACCAAGACCTCATAACTTTATAAATAATACAAAAATATTTTACTGCTTTTACCACCAGTCTCTTCTTCTTCTTCTGCCTTTCTATCCCCCAATGGAGCATAGGCCCCCAACCAACTCATGCCAAGTCATTCTATCCTTCGCCATTACATGGAGCTCTCCCCATCTTTCTTATTTCATTCTCCAGCTCTCTTCTTTATGTGTTTTTTGGCCTTCCTTTATTCCTATGCCCCTGTAGGTTCCAATGCAAAGACATTCTAGTTATGCTGTTCTCCTGTTTTCTCAGTGTGTGTCCTATCCAATGCCAGCATATTTTCCTCACCTCTTGGTCTTCTGGAGCTTGCTTAGTTCTCTCCCAAAGCTCCACATTAGTTATTCTATCATACCATTTAATTCCCTCTATTCTGCGCAGGAACCAGTTAATGAATGTCGGTAATTTATTAGTAATTGCCTTAGTTGTTCTCCATGTTTCCGCCCCATACAAAAGTACTGATTTGACATAAGAATTAAAAATTTTTAGTTTAGTATTTCTTTTAATCTCTGTTGACCTCCACAAATTCGTTAGTGCTATGAAAGCTCCTCTTGCCTTTTGTATTCTTATTTTAATATCTCTATCAGTTCCTCCATCTTTATCTACATTACTGCCCAAATAGGTGTACGACTCCACATCTTGGAGTGTGGTGCCATTAGGAGAAACCACATTACTATTTGCCTGATTTATTCTCATTATCTTTGTCTTTCCTTTATGGATTTTCAGACCAAGCTGCTGTGATCTCGCATCAAGTATATTTAATTACCACCAGTAACGGAAATAAATCTTAAATAAAAATATTTTGTGATGCCAGAGGTTACAGGCTGGTGGGAAATGCATTAACCTCCACCTCAAAACTATTTTTGTTTTCAAAGTTTCATAAACAACTTACAGTTAATCCGGGATGAAGTTAAAAAAAAAAAACAATAAATAAATATTAAAATACCTTTTAACTATTTGTGTCACTACAAATTTACAGTTCAAAGATCAAAGTTCAGAGGTGTCAAGTAAAAAATTTACAACACTGAAAATATGATAAAACAATTACCTTCTATCTGACCCTCCAGCATAGTAGGCTTGTCCTTCTTCATCTGATGAGTCCGATTCAACATGGATGCTCTTGAAAGTCTGGATTCTACAGTCAATTTTGTAAAATGCCAAATTTATCTGTCATACTTGCAACAAACAATGCCAAATTAATCTGTCATACTTGCAACAAACAATGCCAAATTAATCTGTCATACTTGCAACAAACAATGCCAAATTAATCTGTCATACTTGCAACAAACAATGCCAAATTAATATGTCATACTTGCAACAAACAATGCCAAATTAATGTCATACTTGCAACAAACAATGCCAAATTAATATGTCATACTGGTAACAAACAATGCCAAAAAATAATATGTCATACTTGCAACAAACAATGCCAAATATGTCATACTGCTAACAAACAATGCCAAATTAATATGTCATACTTGCAACAAACAATGCCAAATTAATATGTCATACTTGCAACAAACAATGCCAAATTAATATGTCATACTGGTAACAAACAATGCCAAATTAATATGTCATACTGGTAACAAACAATGCCAAATTAATGTCATAACTATACCAAGCATTACTAAATTAATCTGTCATAGAACAGTGCAAATTATTAGTTCCTATCTGCAACAAAGTGAAAAAGCAAATGGCTCATGCTAACAATATTATGTCTGAACTAATGACCTGATAAGATAAGTTCTGATACAAATGCAGAGACAGCAGTTACAATGATCATAAGTTCTGTTGCAAATGCAGAGATAGTGGCTACAATGATCATAAATTCTGATACAAATGCAGAGATAGTGGCTACAATGATCATAAATTCTGATACAAATGCAGAGATGGTGGCTACAATGATCATAAGTTCTGATACAAATACAGAAATGGTGGCTACAATGATCATAAGTTCTGATACAAATACAGAAATGGTGGCTACAATGATCATAAGTTCTGATATAAATACAGAAATGGTGGCTACAATGATCATAAGTTCTGATACAAATACAGAAATGGTGGCTACAATGATCATAAGTTCTGATATAAATACAGAAATGGTGGCTACAATGATCATAAGTTCTGATACAAGTACAGAGATGGTGGCTACAATGATCATATGTTCTGATATAAATACAGAAATGGTGGCTACAATGATCATATGTTCTGATATAAATACAGAAATGGTGGCTACAATGATCATAAGTTCTGATACAAATACAGAAATGGTGGCTACAATTATCATATGTTCTGATATAAATACAGAAATGGTGGCTACAATGATCATAAGTTCTGATACAAATACAGAAATGGTGGCTACAATGATCATAAGTTCTGATACAAATACAGAAATGGTGGCTACAATGATCATAAGTTCTGATACAAATACAGAAATGGTGGCTACAATGATCATATGTTCTGATACAACTACAGAAATGGTGGCTACAATGATCATAAGTTCTGATATAAATACAGAAATGGTGGCTACAATGATCATAAGTTCTGATATAAATACAGAAATGGTGGCTACAATGATCATAAGTTCTGATGCAAATGCAGAGATAGTGGCTACAATGATCATAAATTCTGATACAAATGCAGAGATGGTGGCTACAATGATCATAAGTTCTGATACAAATGCAGAGATGGTGGCTACAATGATCATAAGTTCTGATACAAATACAGAAATGGTGGCTACAATGATCATAAGTTCTGATACAAATACAGAAATGGTGGCTACAATGATCATAAGTTCTGATATAAATACAGAAATGGTGGCTACAATGATCATAAGTTCTGATACAAATACAGAAATGGTGGCTACAATGATCATAAGTTCTGATATAAATACAGAAATGGTGGCTACAATGATCATAAGTTCTGATACAAGTACAGAGATGGTGGCTACAATGATCATAAGTTCTGATATAAATACAGAAATGGTGGCTACAATGATCATAAGTTCTGATACAAATACAGAAATGGTGGCTACAATGATCATATGTTCTGATATAAATACAGAAATGGTGGCTACAATGATCATAAGTTCTGATACAAATACAGAAATGGTGGCTACAATGATCATATGTTCTGATATAAATACAGAAATGGTGGCTACAATGATCATAAGTTCTGATACAAATACAGAAATGGTGGCTACAATGATCATAAGTTCTGATACAAATACAGAAATGGTGGCTACAATGATCATAAGTTCTGATACAAATACAGAAATGGTGGCTACAATGATCATATGTTCTGATACAACTACAGAAATGGTGGCTACAATGATCATAAGTTCTTATATAAATACAGAAATGGTGGCTACAATGATCATAAGTTCTGATATAAATACAGAAATGGTGGCTACAATGATCATAAGTTCTGATACAAATACAGAAATGGTGGCTACAATGATCATATGTTCTGATATAAATACAGAAATGGTGGCTACAATGATCATAAGTTCTGATACAAATACAGAAATGGTGGCTACAATGATCATATGTTCTGATATAAATACAGAAATGGTGGCTACAATGATCATAAGTTCTGATACAAATACAGAAATGGTGGCTACAATGATCATAAGTTCTGATACAAATACAGAAATGGTGGCTACAATGATCATAAGTTCTGATACACATACAGAAATGGTGGCTACAATGATCATATGTTCTGATACAACTACAGAAATGGTGGCTACAATGATCATAAGTTCTGATATAAATACAGAAATGGTGGCTACAATGATCATAAGTTCTGATATAAATACAGAAATGGTGGCTACAATGATCATAAGTTCTGATACAAATACAGAAATGGTGGCTACAATGATCATATGTTCTGATATAAATACAGAAATGGTGGCTACAATGATCATAAGTTCTGATACAAATACAGAAATGGTGGCTACAATGATCATATGTTCTGATATAAATACAGAAATGGTGGCTACAATGATCATAAGTTCTGATATAAATACAGAAATGGTGGCTACAATGATCATAAGTTCTGATACAAATACAGAAATGGTGGCTACAATGATCATAAGTTCTGATACAAATACAGAAATGGTGGCTACAATGATCATAAGTTCTGATACAAATACAGAAATGGTGGCTACAATGATCATAAGTTCTGATACAAATACAGAAATGGTGGCTACAATGATCATAAGTTCTGATACAAATACAGAAATGGTGGCTACAATGATCATATGTTCTGATACAACTACAGAAATGGTGGCTACAATGATCATAAGTTCTGATATAAATACAGAAATGGTGGCTACAATGATCATAAGTTCTAATATAAATACAGAAATGGTGGCTACAATGATCATAAGTTCTGATATAAATACAGAAATGGTGGCTACAATGATCATAAGTTCTGATATAAATACAGAAATGGTGGCTACAATGATCATAAGTTCTGATATAAATACAGAAATGGTGGCTACAATGATCATAAGTTCTGATATAAATACAGAAATGGTGGCTACAATGATCATAAGTTCTGATACAAATACAGAAATGGTGGCTACAATGATCATAAGTTCTGATACAAATACAGAAATGGTGGCTACAATGATCATAAGTTCTGATACAAATACAGATATGGTGGCTACAATGATCATAAGTTCTGATATAAATACAGAAATGGTGGCTACAATGATCATAAGTTCTGATATAAATACAGAATTGGTGGCTACAATGATCATAAGTTCTGATACAAATACAGAAATGGTGGCTACAATGATCATAAGTTCTGATACAAATACAGAAATGGTGGCTACAATGATCATATGTTCTGATACAAATACAGAAATGGTGGCTACAATGATCATAAGTTCTGATACAAATACAGAATTGGTGGCTACAATGATCATAAGTTCTGATATAAATACAGAATTGGTGGCTACAATGATCATAAGTTCTGATACAAATACAGAAATGGTGGCTACAATGATCATAAGTTCTGATACAAATACAGAAATGGTGGCTACAATGATCAAAAGTTCTGATACAAATACAGAAATGGTGGCTACAATGATCATAAGTTCTGATACAACTACAGAAATGGTGGCTACAATGATCATCATAAGTTCTGATATAAATACAGAAATGGTGGCTACAATGGCCACTACAGCAGCTAGACAATTATAAACAAACAGTAAAAGCTGCAATAACTGAATTTTTCATATCATAAACCCTTTAAGAAAAGAGGTCAGGAATTTACATGAAACCACAAGTTATCATCAACAACAAACTTGGAAAATGTTAACAATTTATACTAATATTTTTTTTAACACTCATTTATCCACATTTTTTGTTTCCAAAATATTTAGTCACATAAAGGGAGAAATCAATAAGTATGAAGTATGGGACATATTCCATAGGGCCTTAATAAAAACATGTGTTGTTTTTTATGCCATGATCCCGGGACCCTCAACATTGTTGCTCCCGAAAAATTTTCATGTCTACACAACTTTTAAAAAGCCATTTGCTTCACAAGACCCACCCGCCCCCCCCCCCCCCTGCTATTTTTAGTAAATATATTCGTATCCAGGCCCTATTAAAAGCTGCGCAGGTGTAAACAGAGCCAATAATATCAAACTATGCTTCCCAGTAAACAGATCACAGCAGACAGGCTGGTTTCAGGACCTTTACAGGGATGTGGCCACGATGAAAAAGCCTGGTCCGGGGCTTCCCATGGAACAAGGATTACATTCTAACTAAACTACTATTACTATTTCCAAAACTCAGTGAGACAAGAAGAACGCTACTCCCTCCAAGACCAGACAAGTGGAACACCTTGTACGGAGGAAAAGAACAGCTTGTGAAAACATGCAAATTCCACTACATGGCATTGGGCCAAAGGGCGAAAGCTCATGCGCCACTGGATCGATAACAACAACAACCAAAACCACTATTATTACTCACACAAATTTCATTTTTATGGTGCTGGCTTCACCACTGTCACCCTCACCAATATCACTACTACTACTACTACTACTTAAATCTCTATTAGTTCTAAATTTACCAACACAACCACTACTTCCACCCCACCTAAAACTACCAACACTGCAGTTATCACCAATGCTATTTCACCATCTCCAGTCCCCTACTTACTTATTGACAGCATCCGGTCGATCAGCTGCAACGTTCACATCTGATGCCATAGGCACATCTTCCGCTGCTAGCAACTGTTCTGGTTCATCATGATCAGTGCCCTCAAAAAAGCTGCTCATTGCCAGCTGTTGGTGAGACAAGATTTGCAAAGCAGAATGTAACTATTCACCTCATTTCATTATATTATTTCTCAGCACTAGTGTATAGTATGACAATGAATTAACCTGGACAATGAACAAGCAGTGGTGCTGTTCATGTTTCCAGCTCCAGGATTAGAGTAACTTCCCTTGCTATTCAAGCCTCCTTAGGTCGCTGGACCTCTCCTATGTTGGGTAGGAGTCATGTTTTCCTTACTGTGAGCGGTTTAACCATTGCTTCTTTTCTTGTCTTCTCACTGCTAGCTTATGTGATGATTTTCAGGTTCTGCTACCTGCGCAACGGTTTGGGAGTATGGAAACACCAATATTTTTCTATTCCTACACTCCTTGTGACTGCTTTCTTTCTCTCGGGGAAAGCCACCAACAACAAACGTAGAAATACATAAATATCCCATTTACGATAGCCAAGAATCTTCGCGCCTGTGGCGCTTTCCCCTGCAGTACTTCTTACTTGTCTGAAATAGACTCACAACAACACAACCTCCCACAAACATTACATACACCAAGCGAACACCAAACCAAGCCATATCATAAAACCCCAGCAACATAGGAGAGGTCCAGTGACCTAAGGATTTGTGAATGGCAAGGGAAGTTACTCTAACCCTGGGCGTGGAAAAGTGAACAGGACCCAAGCAGCTAAAAACAATTATACTGAGTGTCTGGAGATATGGATATACAGAAGAATTGGTTGTATTTCATGAAACAAAAATAGAGGTTATGGAGACAATAGAAACTTGGAGTAAAAACAGTTACTGACAAAAAAGAAAGAGACAACTGAAAATTCTGACCACATTAAAAACAACACTCTTTCAAAATCAAATTGGAGAAGGTCAAAGGCAAGAGGCAGACAACAATACAAGTGGGAGAACAATATTAAGCGATAAACAGCAGTCGGAGAGATGTACAAACCAATAAAAGAGACAGTGTGTTGGAGATTCATTGAAGCCAACCTTTTTTGTGGAGATGGCACCTGATTAGGATATTAACACATTACGAATTAAAGCAAACTGTTCCATTTCTAATTTGATATAGTTGGCTGAAAGGTGCAAATGTTTAAGTATAGGGGTAAACCAGAACAAAACGTACTGAACAACATTTTAAAGGTTAAAGAAGAGTAAGAAAATAGTCAGTTAGTCGACAGATTATCCTCACTGTACGTTGAACCACTCAGTCCACAAGTGCCTGGATCCCCTCCTCAGTAAATCACACAGCATTTAGCAGATGGCGACACCAGTTTTGTGTTGGTTTATTCTTCTTATTTGGCTACCCGCGTAGTGTTCTTGGTTGGCGACACTTGATTTAGCTTGCTGTTCTTGCAGTCTGACCTAGGTTGCAGATTCACGGTCCTCAATTGGTTCATGCAAACGCCTTAACTCTCTTAGAGCTTTCAGTATATCAGACTAGTCCATGGTTTGTCCAGCTTTCACAGTAGCCTTACCTGTAAGCCTATCAGCACGCTCACTTCCTTGTACCCCCACATATCCTAGCACATAAAAGAAAGCAATCCTTGTCAGTCCTGAATGATGTAGAGCCACCAACCACTGCCTTCGGACCCAGCCCTTCTCTATCTTCCTGAGCATACTCATCGAGTCACTGAGAAAACATGCCCCGGTGAAAGTCTGTGTCTCTAGCCATGTTACTGCTTTAGTCACAGTGAAGACCTCTATAGTTATATTACTTGTAGTTATGACAAAAGCTCCAAAATCTTCCTTCACAACTCTCTCTCCAACCTGAGCCGTGAAAGTCCATGAGCTTCTAACATGGTGGATTACAGACCCATCTGTGTAAATGACAGCATCACCCTCTAGAGCATTCTCGAAAAATCAAGGCTTGAACTTCTGTTTCCACAGCAGCTGAACCCTGTTGTCTGTATTTTTTGTCTAGTTGCATGCAAACAGAAAAGGATGTACAGCACTCTGAAGGCACTTGCACCCTCGCCGGGTTCTATGTCCTCAAGTGAACATACCTGTAAAATAATGTCCACGGTTGACCCATCCATGATTTCGCTCTTTTTAACCTGCTGCCTTTTATCTTCTTAATTTCACTATGTAATGGATGATGCGTGTTTGTCTTGACTGTGAGGTAGGCACACGATCGGGAAATTTGTATTCTGTCTTCAATGGTTGGAAAATCAAGAAGGTAGCGCATCGCCCTGCATGCTGTATCTCTTGTACACCCAAGTATAATGTGCATAGCCTCGTTCTGTATCCTTTCCATCTGCTTATGGCTAGAGTCAGCATCACCATCGTGCATTCAAAAATGGAAAGACCCAAACCCTGGTATAAAAGACATAGATGACGCCGCCATCACTCTCAGCGCAGCCAGACTCCACTTGGCTTTCATTATAATCTGATCTATGCTGAGTATAAGCAACACTTCGATCAAACTGTATCCCCAGGTATTTCATTTCATGCGTTCTTTCCACAACCTCAGAACACAGACTAACAACTGGTTTTGGAGTTTTCACAATATGGTTATTCAATGAGAAAACCATGTCACTGTCGCCTTCGTTGGGTTGACCAGTGCACCAGCTTCACCACACCAAGTGCTTTTGCGGTTGAGCTCTTTTTGCAGTTCTTTAGCAACCTTCTCTCTCTACCCTTGCCCTGACGATACACTAACACAGAATAAGAAAATATTCAGAATAAAGGTGTATAGTATAAATAAATATATGTGTAATAAAAGTCAATGGTGTTATTTTAGGACAAGTACAGAAATTTAAGTATCTGGGCACATTGATAACATCAGATGGAAGATACATAACTGAAATAAGAAACAGAATTGGACAGGCAAAAACTGCATTTTATAAAATGAAAAACAACTTGTGCAATATATCCTTGTCAATGAGAGTTAGAAAAAGAATTCTTGCTTGCTACATACATCTAGTTTTAACATATGGATGTGAATCCTGGACAATCGGTAGGCAGGCCAAACAATTTTTAGAGGCCTCAGAGATGTGGTTTTACAGAAGAATGCTTAGAATACCTTGGACAGCCAAAAAGAGCAACCAAGAGGTTTTGAAAGAGGCGGGAGCCCGAAGACAACTTATCACAGACATCAGAAGGAGACAGTCATCATTTTTCGGCTATGTTATGAGAAGAGGGAAAATAGAACATGTTGTGACCACTGGAAAGATCTGTGGAAAAAGGGATAGAAGAAGACAATGAGAGAAGATGCTTGACAGTCTTGTTGCATGGCATGGAGGTGTGTCGGCACCCGAACTGATACATGCTGCAGGAGATGGCAGATTATGGAGAGGCATGATCGCCCACGCCAGTTGGCAAGGCACCTGATGATGATGATGAGTATAAATGAAGAAATTATTATTGCAACCCCCCCCCCCCCACCCCCTCCCTCAAAAAATACCATACTATATTAATACTGTATGCATGCCGATTTTTAGTAATGAATCAGTTGATTCCTTTTTCATGAATCATTTCAAATATAAATTTAAGTGCAATATAGTGACCAAAATGATTTACAATATTAACTGTTACTATTTTACTGAATATTATTACTGTATTAATGTATAGTAATACTATTACTATACATTAATTTATATTATCCATTCATTTGATTCATAAAAAGTAAATTAATCCTGCCTAAAAATTTAGTACTATTTTTATTTACTGGCCATTTCATTTTAAATTATAATCTACCAAAGCTGTCTACAAACAGGCTTGTGTCATTCCATGCGACCGAGATTTAAGTAATTTAACTAAAGCGCAATAAACGAATAATTTAGTTATAATAAATGACAACGCAAAATTGATGAGTAACAAAGAAGTCGATGGCATTCTTCATTTGTTCGAGAGTGCTTGATCGGCAAAACTCATATATCTTATTTTTGGTCTATAATTTTATATCTCTACATCTCGGCAAACAGTCCAGCGTCCTTTGAAGATGCACGAACCTCCAAATCCCACGCAGCGGACTCGAGATAGAACCTGGCTCGGCTGGAGTCGGCGCCTGTGACACCAACAAATTGTTCTACAAGGCTCTCCTGGTCAGCCATTTTTGTCTGTTGAGATTAGAGTGGTTTCCCTTAGTAAACATTCTCACACCAGTCTGGTCTTGTAGAGACGTGTGAGGCCATCAGAGAATACCTGGAGACCTTCCTTTTCCTTTTCGCGTCACATCGGGCTCTTTGTGGCGTGCAATGCTAAGTCATTTTAAATGGCGCACAAAACCTAGTCACACTTATAACCTAAAGCTCCCACTTCTGGGAGGCTGGCTGAACGTGACGATTTTTTTTTCTCTCCAGCAAAGCACCTACCTACCTACCCTTTCTATTATGAACGTCAGGTTACCAGGGGTTCAATATAACCTTACAGTTGAACGAGGCTTATCAGCACTTGTACATGTAGTATTCTTATTTAAGGGGAGGGGGTTAGATAATGATGATGAACACATAGCGCTAATACGATTGCGTGACATTGGAATAAATCTTGGCGAAGCACGTCTGTGTAGTCTCCGAGGTCAAGACAAAAGACACTATAACGAACTTCTTATTGGAACACTGGGCATAGGTACTTTGAAGTGGCTGCTGCAGGGGTTTACTGAGCACGTATATGAATGCCAAGTGTGCAGTGATGTCGATTGTGATGACATCTTTGAGGTGTTTGACCTGCAGACTGCAATTGTTGATGGCACAAAATGTAATGCAATTTCTTCGCGTTTATCTGCCGTAAACTCCGGCTATCGTGCGCCAGAAGCTTGACCACGACATTTTGCCCCCTAAAAATTGTGTCAATACATTCCATCAATGAGTAAAAGCAATAACAACAACAAAATGAATGCAGCAGCTGAACAAAGTCAAAGAATTTTACTACAGTCTACAGTCAGCCTTCTGCTACTTTTACTTCCGCCAATGTCAGGCTGTGTCCAGCGCAGGGGAAATAGGTGAATCCGCGCTTGCAATCCACTATATCGTTCATGCATATTTGGGGCAAATCCGCACAACTGACCACGACAGTTTGAAAGTGGAATTTTCTTCTCATTAAGAAAATCAACACAAATGTCTGTCAGATTCTTTACTCAATGAGAAAAGTTGGGATGGACAGTACGAAATGTTCCATTTTGAGATAGACGGGGGGGGGGGGGGAAGGGGGGGGGGGAGAGGGGGGTGGTAGTATATTTTGGTTTTATGCTACATATATTATAATTATAACGAACTTTTAAATGAATGTATCTCAAGCTATATAGAATTAATTTAAACGTCAAACATATTTTTAGGTATTAAACTTGGAGCACAACTGAAAGAGATGAAGCCTTATTACAGGTTTTCGAAACAGTCTTACGACGAATCTTTGGACCTATCAAAGATGCAAACAGCGGTAAATGGATAGTGAGAAGCAATAACGATATTCATAATCTTTTTAAATCACCATTGATCACTGGCATCATGAGAACTAATAGATTGAAATGGTTGGGGCTTATTGAAAGTATGTCAGATGACAGAGAAGTAAAAACTGTATACACAAGAGAGATGGATGGTCTTAAACCACGAGGCAGGTCAAGAAGAACATGGAGAGATAATGTCCAGACAAACCTGCAAACACTTGGTGTCACTAACTGAAAAGAGAAGGCCAACCAGAGAGAAGAATAGAGACGAGTGATATCTGCAGCAATGAACCTCAAGGGCTCGGAATGAAGAAGAAGAAATATTGGGGGGGGGGGGCAAGTCACCTGACATACACAGATTAGCATGTGGCACATATTAGCGTTGGGTCCTAGGCAAGTGCCTAGTAGGCCCATGCGTTACGACAGCCCTGATGTAGTATGATTTGTGGCTTATACAACGGATCAACATCATAGCACAAGGGTAGTAGCCCATAGGTGCTCCGTTCTACTTCTAACTCAAATCTGAGTCCGAAATTCTCGCACGAACTCCGTAGCATCGGCGAGAATCCTGAAATATTTTAAGTATATTTTTTACTCCAAATTTTGTCCGGACAGCGCCGTTGGGCTACTGTTTTTTATTTCCAACTGCCAACTATTTTTACGTGCGCAACGATGCACACGGGCGTCCGATCTCACAACCCAGAGACCAGGGGACATTACTAGAAGTCCACGTAAAAAAGTCCCTTCACCGGGGCTTGAACCCAGGACCTCCAGCACTCGAGGTGGTCGCCATGCCTTGAGACTACTCAGCCCCATAAAGGTATAGTAGGGGACGATCAAGGCGAATATGGAATGAAGGAGGTCACTGATACACTGAGACACCACAACATACCGGGCAACCCATAGTGCCCGAGCTCGGAAACTGGCCACCTGTAAACCTTCGACACAAAGTAGAAAACTGACAAAAGAAGGTAAATGAGAGGGAGGGAACTGGGCTAGTTCAATATGGCTAAGGATAGGATGAGTTGTTTAAAGACATTTTCCTCAATTAGGGATAAAGGGTTGACATGAGTTAAGAACCGACATCGTAGTACTCGGGACATTCCTATAAACGCTCCATCCACATCTTCATCAGCCAGCGGATAGTACCAGTAACAGTGTACGTTCATCGTGTCTTTCCTCGTGATGGTTGTGAGTCCTGGACAATTAATAAACAAGCCAAGCAATTTCTTTGGCTTCGGAGATGGGGTTTTATATAAAAATCCTTATAATTGCTTGGACAGCCAAAAATAGCAGCCCACATGTTCCGAAAGAGGTGAGGGCACGAAGGCAACTTATCACAAATATCAGAAAGACACCGTCATCATTCTTTTGGTAATGTAATGAGAAGAGGGAAGCTGGAACATATTGTGACTATTGAAAAGATCTGTAGAAAGATAGAGAAAGGAAGACAACAGGAGAAGATTTTTGACACCTTTTTGGCATGTCATGGAGGGGTGTCAACACACGAACTGATACACGTAGTAGCAGTTCACAAATTGTGGAGAGGCAAGATCGCTTACGCCAGTCGGCAAGGTACTTGATAGTGATAACTATGACATGTCACGAGAGCAACGTCTCATCTAGCAGCTAGACGCTGCACTCTCATTCGGGACCCCCAGGTTCAAATCCTTCCTAACGCTTGCCTTGAATGGATGTCTGTTTGACTGACTGACTTTCTACCCCACCAGGACATCACACAAGCGATAAACACCCGATGACACAAAGTGCCACCATGTGGGTGAGGATCACCGTGGAGAGGTCATAGAAACCGCGTTCAGCCTCTAGGCCATATTTATGGCCAGGCTATATTGCGGCCCCTGGCAAGAGCCAGAGTGGGGCTTCAAATAACGAAAAATTCCATCCCAAAAAGAGATGTCTGTTTGTTCTCATACCACAAATAAGGCAAAATAACGTTTACAAAAAAAAAGCTCACAAGGCATGATTATTAACAACTGCATGCCAGATTTCAGCAACGTTAACTGAACAGTTAGTTACTGAGTTACAGGTTTTTAAATTTGGTCACGACTTCTGGAACAGACTATATTACGTCTGCGCGAGGATGAGATCAGCATACCCCCCCCCCCCCCACCATTTTGAACAGATGGATTACCTCCCCGTGTATGGTTATCCCCAACAGTTTTCCCCAACAGGTGGCGCTGCATACAGCAGATGATCCAAGATGGCAGACATCAAGGTAAGCACCGATTGTAAACAAACACACAGAGGGGGGAAATATCGACTGTTTGCAGACTTGTTCTACTTTCATGTAATTAGGAGTTACACGATGTTTTTTTTAAATTGATTGCAACTGGAAATGTTGTTTAATATGTCAACGAATTGCTAGATCAACTTGCTGGTAGTCGATGCCTTGCATCTGAACGATTTCCCGATTTACTTCTGACTTCTGAGTGGAGAAAAATGATGCCCCACCGAACGGAAGAAAAACAGAGAATTGTGAAATTCAGCTTCAGCCTACAAATACCGACATCATACAAGGTTAAAAAAACATAGAACATTATGACGCGAAGTCCCCAAATTCACATAAAAACGACACACCCGTTCCGAACGCTGTTGAAGTTTATATTCAATGAATACGCTATCACTAGATAGAAATGCAGAGAATGAATGGAATATGAATTTGAATGAAACTGTAAATTTAAGTGAAATAATTGTCTAGTGTGAGATAAATTAAATATATTATTATTATGTACTTTAATTATCTCACTGTAGACGGCTGCAGGTGGACAGAGAGTTCACTGAAGCTCTTTTGGTTTTTCTCCTTGAGTTGGAGTGAAAAATAGTAATATTCATAATCATCAGAGTTTAAAAAAAAATCTCATTTGTATGGTATTTTTTGTAAGCTAATTAAATTACAATTTACAGTTTATGTAAATATCACAGACAGCAGCCGTTATCTGTCTCTGTGAAAACTGTCCTACTAAGATGTAATAAAAAAAAAAAAAAGATTAAATCTCACTTTTAATCTAAAAAAACATTCATGATAGTCTGCTATGTGATTTTGCTGATATGAAGCAATATTTTACTAACTGTTAGTGCCTGCGAGTAGTTAGGGGTCATGTGTGCAGTTTCATTATTCTTACATACCAAGGCGTTAATTCAGCTGCAACCAGTTTGGCAGCAGACAACTTTATCTTGATTTAGACAGTGGTATGAGCAGCACACTCTTCAACAAGCAGTGACAAACTACTGAATTTAAAATTACCTACTTACTTACTTAGTTGCTCCCCTTTTACCTTGGGGTGTAGGGGTTTGCTAGAGAGATCGCCAGATGTCTCTGTTAGCACTTTTCTTTCTGGCTTTGTTCCATTCCTGTCCGCTGTCGGTCAGAAACTGTCGGATGTTGTCTTTCCAGCAGACTCTGAATCACAATAGAGGACTAGTTCCCTGGTTCTTTGCCTCCCATGCCTGCCATAGTGGCCTATTAAAATTACCTAGTAAAACCACAAACATTTAACAAATGCTGATGTCAGTTTGTAGCATCCTGTAAAAAGATATCTAACAAAGTTTACCTGTCAGTCGCCAGTTTATGCTGCAGACCAGGCACCAGAGCGAGAAGACACACTCATTCTTACAGTGTTGTTCATATTAAATAGGATCTTGTTTGATCAC